GCAACAGGATCGAGGACTTAGAGCTCTCCGCTGGATTGATGCAGTGCTATACTGCCCAGTCAATGTCAACTGATTCCCTGACTGGTGTGCCATGGGCTAAGGAGCTTCGTCATTTGTCCGAGCTTGAGCAAGAATCGCTCTGGGACTTGAAGCTGCCCAAGGAGTACGTCCCTGGAACATCAAGGCCGGCGGTAGACGTCGTGCCCACAATTTATGTGGTGACTTCAGATTCGACGCTGGCGCTGATCACTGGAAAGGGTAAGACTTTGAAGAAGTACACCCTGAAGGAGGACCTTGCCTTGCGAAAGGCTGACATGATTCTTGAAATCGGTCATGATATGCTCTGGGGCAAGGATCTTCAACAACTCTGCAAAGCAAATATTGCTATGACCAAGGATTTGATGTCGAAGTTTTCCAATTACGGTTCAGCAATTCGCATCATTTCTGTGATCTTTTGGTCTGGTAACGAGGTTTCCGGGGAATATGGAGTTGAACCCCGGGCAACGGGATCCACAGGGCGATTGGCATCTGATGCCTTCAACGCTGTCGAGATCTACGCAAGTTCCGGGGCGGCTGCAATTCAGAGAATGAATGCAAAGGGCAAAAAGATCACGACTGCTGACAAATGTCCTGGGGTAATCTATCACCGTACTACGAAGGGTAATTGGAAAGGAATTCTTCGTGACGGCTTTGTTGCCGGTGGTGGAGAACCCGTCTCATCAGGTAGAGCGCACTCCTACTTCAGCGAGGTGCAGGTCAGCGACAAGAAGTACGTCAGTGGGCTCAGGGCTGGGCGTCCCATCGAGATCCGTGTGGCCATGTCAGAAGCTGTGCGCAGCGGAGTCATTTTCTTCAAAACATCGTCTGATGGAATTTTGACAAGTGACGTGGTTCCTTCACTTTTCATCATCTCGGTTGACGATACTGAAAAGAAGACCAGCTTCTATCGGCGACATGAGGACACGGCACAATCTGCTCATGGCAGCGGGGGAGAAGTTGGGGTTCAGGAACTTGTGAAGTCCTACGAGGCAAAATCTTCTCAGAGAACTGGATCCACATCTCCGGCCGCCTCAACTGGCGCGCCCGCTGCACCACTGGTTTTCCCAGGAAAAGTGAAGCCTCCGCCACCCAATGTGGCTCAAACATCGGGTATGCCAGGCTATGCACACAGCAGGTTGTTGCCGCCCCCTCCAAAAGGTGAAGCTCCAAAACCACCATCAGTTGTTGAGGGTCCCAAAACTCCACCGAAGATTGAAGGTCCAAAGACACCACCAAAGGCTGATGCTCCGGCGGCACCGCCGAAAGAGGGAGCTTCTGCACCATCTGCACCTGAAGTTCCAAAGGCAGTGACAGCAGCGGTTGAACCAGCAAAAGAAGATGAACCTGCAAAGAAGAAAGCCGCTCTCTCCAGCGTGCCCGCAGCTGTGCCAGTGGCATCATCGGCTGCGGCCTTCTTGGAACCTGTTCCGAAGATTGTGCCTTCAAAGGCTCGTCCAAAAGAACAAGAAGTTTCCACTGCAGTGCCTCCATCATCAAAGCTGGCTTGAAGCTCAAAGTCACTGGTGCCAAAAAAGAAGTCTCGCCCTAAAGGCGATGACCAACCATCAGAGGAGAACAAGCCGGTGTTGATCAAGATTGAGACCAAACAATGTGAACGATGTTTCGCAGAAACCTTCAAAGGACAACTTGAATGCGATGTCTGTGGATTGATGCTTGAAGGAGCTGGCAAGGCCGACAGAACCAAGATCGCTGAACGCCGCAAAGCCGCACTTCACAAGTTGGGGCCCTATTATGACTTTAAGGGAGAGTACTTGCAGAGCATCACACAGCATCAGCTGGAGTCACTTGGACTTCTCGGAGATCAGGCCCGTGGAAGTTCAAGCCCCGAGGCAGATTTGCTCAAGCGTGCAAAAAGCAGGTATGAAAGAGCTTTGAGCCTTGGATTTGACTCTGTTGCACAACGTTTCACGAAGGACGCAACTTTTGCTGAAAGTGTCCCCAATGAAGGTGAGAACGAATATGACTGCCAACGCTACGATCTTTTGCGGGCAGCACATCTTCCGAAACCGGACAGGACCAAAGCAAAGGTCAGGCTGGGAGTATCTGAGCAGTCGCAGTTGGAGCACAATGCCATGAGACTTGTTTTTCTGGACTTCCCCAGCCGTCTTGACGTGCCCAGTTCTTTCAAGTACATTGATCAACCATGGATTTACATGTACAGAACTGAGGTCTATTCCGAGGAGGAGTACATCGAATACTTGGAGAGGAATCCTCACAACAATTTGTTGCTTTCATGCACGGGTGTCGACCATGTGGCAGTTCACGACGCTGAGAGACACCTGAAATGGATCAAGGCCCAAAATGAAGATTCTCACGAGACGAACGTTGAGGAGAAGCGCAAACAGTCTGAGAGAGCCAAGGAGCAAAATGAATCAAGCCAAAAGAAAGGCTGAGCAGACTGGTGCCTTCGGGCAAGGGCCAACAAAGAAAGGCACCGCTAGCCCGGTTGCCCGAACACCCGCCAAAGTTGAAGCAGCCTCCTCATCGGCGTCGGCGAGTGTGTGGCTCAACAACCTGTAAAGCTCTCAACAGGATCGCCCCAGTGGTACTCGCCAAGATCGACAGTACACTGGAGAATGGCAGAAATGGCATGGACGCTGGTACCAAAAGGTCATCAGACACGGCCGCATCGAATGGGAGCAGGGATAGAGTTGGGTCGCACCTCGCAGGGATGATTGGTGTATATATAATAATATATATATATAGATATATAGCATTATATAGCCGCATTACTTTTGAGTGTTTCTCAGGTTTGCAAAGAGCTGGAACGGTAAGGCAGACCGAAATGGTCTCGCCCTGGTAAATGGGCGGCTTTGCCGTAACCGGCTCACCCGAGGGGGGTGTAATTGCGTTCCATGTAAAACACACTGTAATATAGCATGCTGACATTAGCTGTTGCGGCTCGAGTAAAAAGTGCTTTTGCCGCAGTGCTTAACGGATTTAGGTTTATCAGTCTACTTGGGTGTTATAGGCATAACCCCAGCTGAAAACTGAAAATACAGTTTCTTTACCTCAGAAACAATCGTGGCACAAGCCTCACAGTCGTCCCCACCATCCATCATAGAATTTAACAACCACATGTAACTTTTATATTTAAACTTACGTATATTGTCGAAACACTGACATCTGAAATTAGATTCTGAAGATTTGTGACGGAAGACGGTCGCTCTAAACTTGATCCTCAATCGCTACTGGTAGCATGAAGTGTCTGGGCCTGTCCAACTAAAAACTACATAGGGAAAGCGAACAAATATCATGACCGCAAAACACCCTGGAAACCATACGCTTCATGGATACATGTACCGGTACCGTGAAAAAAATCAAGCCCACAAGGACATAAAGTGTTTGTATTCTTGGGTTCACTGTGAACATATTCAGGATGACAGATTGGAATGACATCTGCATAACCGGTTTCTGCAGGAACATGAACCACCATCATGTCAATCAGCAGCTGCAGTATGCGAAACAACAACATATCCTGCAAACAAAATTGCGCAAACGCGTCGCCCAAGGCAAATTTCAATGACATTCCAGCGAAAATGTGTCGTTTTTTTGGCATGTTCTATTGACATATTGCTCAGCATAAATTCTCACGCACTATTTGGTAAATATTCGGGGATACCCGACCGATCCTTGATAAATATTCTTGCTGCTTGGCAGCAGCAAGAAACCTCTGCAGCAAAGTGTGTGGAAGAACTGTTTTCTGTTCTTCAAACTTGGAAATTGAAACGATGACAGGCTCCCTGTTTCCTGTTTTTCGGAAAAGGGGAGACGAGAGGGCTCCTATTCCGATATTTTTTGGTACAGCCGCAACACTTGCCATTTACCAAAAGAATGTCAGAAATAGGGACCCTCTCGTAATCTCTCGTGTCCCCATTTCCCTTATTGATCTTGGGAAGTTCAAACCCACCAGAGTTTTCCCATATATTTCCTATATATTTTTGGGAAAATTGCAGCTTCAAGACTTGACATAGGGACCTTCTCATCGTGTTGGCAGATGCTTTCCTGGTTTGGGGCAGCTTGGGAGCTGATCCCTATTTCCCCAAAATTTCCATCGTCTGAACATTTTTGATGGACCCAAACAATACGAAAAATAGGGACCATCTCATGCTTTTGTGGCATTTGATTATGTGGTTCAAGTTTTGAGTTTTTTTTTTAAATAAGCAAGGAACCGTGCTTGTAAGATCTTATAAACACATGATCTTAGGTTCTTAGGTGTTTAATATTTGATGAGATGTAGTTTGATTTCCTTGTACACGTTTGCAGAAATTGGGCTGATTGGTGAACTGATTGAGTTTGCAGACCCTATATTTATCTATGTTTCAAGATGGATGCATGTGAAGAGATGTGAATTTCATATCCAAGTAGACTGACTGTCTTACTAAGTAATTACATAGATAAGGAAACTTGGGAAATCTTGGGAATTAAATTGAATACGCTAGAACATATGCTAAAATAACTTTCCATTGGGCACATGGCAGGGCTTTCCCGAGTTGCTATGTATATATATATATGTATACACAAATCTATGTGTAAATACAATATATGTATATATCATTATATATATATATATATATCTATGCATAAATGATCAGTCCATGCGCATTCATGTTGGCGACCATTTTCTGCCTTGTTCTCGGCGTTATCACAGCGGTGTGGTTGGAGAGGTCGACAGTACACAACCCAAGAGGAACAGATACACCCCAGGCTTGCGATGTTGAAGTCGCAAGCCTGACAAAACTCCAAAATTGACTCAATCGATGATTCCCATAGAGCTAAAAACATCTAAATGGAACATAATGGAACATCAGTTCTTCAATTTTGTTTAATTTGTTCATATTTTTCCCATTTTTCAAGTTGATTGTCAACCACATAAATTGATGAAAACCATACGAAGACTGCCTCTATTCACCGCGCAAGACCTCTGCCTGGGGCCTGAGGCATGTCCGAGTGGCGGGGACTATGTGACGTGGGCCACACTGACTGGTACTGCTAGTGATTACACCTTGACGAACGGAGATACAGGCTTTTTCGACCTTCGGCTTTGTTTCATTGTTTGTTGTTGACATTTGTATCAATGATGCTAGTTGGTGCTTGCATCTGCTTGCGTCTTGTTGGGGGGCGTTGGGCGGGTGCAGGTTTCCTTGCGAAATATTGCAAACAAACCAACAAACTAAACAAACTGTCAAAGAAATCCTTTGAACCATGTCTTGTTAAAGTCCAAACCTTGCATGCATCATGCAATCTGCAGATGTTAGCTTCGCACTGCTGCAAAATATCATGCGATGACAACGTTCCGTGCAATGAATTGATGTTGCATAATACCATGCTGTGCACAGGTGCTAGCTGCAAAACGCCGCAAATACCGAGCAAATTTGCGCAAATATTGCGCGACTTAAAGATCCTAACACCAAACGGCCAAGATCATATTGTACTCAGATGTTTTTACATACAGAGATGCTCATGCACAGGAATGCTTTTACACTACACACGGGTGCTTTGACGCAGAGATGCTTTTCACAAAGACAGGTTTTTACAAACAGATGTTTGCACATATGGATGCTTTTGCCCAGGGACCAAGAGATGCTTTTACACACAAATATTACCTTTATGCACAGGCGCTTTTACCAGGGATGCTGTTACACAGAGCAGCTTTCACACACACACACACGGATGCGCAGGTACTTCTACACAGATGCCTTTACACAGCGTTGCATGTACACAGGAATGCTTTTGCACACATGTTCTTTTACACAGGGATTCTTGTGACACAGAGTATCCTTTAAAGACAGAAGCTTTAACACACACACAAATACTCTTACACGGGGATGTTCTTGCATATAGAACTATATTCATACAGAGGCATTTTTTACACACAGATACTTTTACAAAGAAGTGTTTTAGTACGGATTCTTTTACACAGAGATGCCTTTACACACAGGTGCTTTTAGACTAGGACGCTTCTAGGCAGAGGAACTTTTACATGGGTGAGGCTGGAAACACGATTTTGATTAGGGTTCAGACCATTTTGGACTCAGGTTTCCATCCATTTTCATTTTTACGTTGAGACACAAATTAGGTGCTTTTACAAAGAGATGCTTCTACACAGGTGCTCTTACACAGAGATGCTTTCAACAAAGAGTACTTGTGCACACAGGTGCTAAGATACTTTTACACAGACATGAGTTTGCAAAGAGAAACTTTTAGACGCAGGCGCGTTTACACACAGTTATACAGATGCCTTTACACAGAGATGGTTTTACACACAGGTGCTTTTACACACCAATACACTAATACGTCCACACAGTGGTTTTTACATAAAAGCTCTTTTACGCAGGGGTTGAATGGCATGCAAGTACTTTTACACAGAGGTACTTTGACACACAGTGACAGGTGATTTTACACACAAATACTTTTACACGGTGATGTTTTTTGCGCACAGGCTTCGTTTTTTAAACACACACACACATGCACACACGCATGGTCTTTCACAGGGATGTTTTTAAACGCACATGTTTTACGCAGATTGTCTTTTCAAAACTGAGATGCTTTTACACAGAGATGCTTTCACACAGAGGCGCTTACACATACGGAAACGTTTTTACACACAAATACTTTTACACAGAGATGATTTTACATTGAGGAACTTTAAACACACACACACACAAATGCCATTACAAAAGCGCAATTTCACCACAGCTTTGAACGAGCGAGACGCATTTCATGCTAAAGGATTGGGCGCACACAAGCAAAATCACAATTTCGTTATTTTTCCGTTCGAATTGCATTTAGTGCAAGAGCGCAAAACCATGCAAACACAAGAAACTGCGAGAAGGGCTGCGCAAAACCATCGAAACTCTAACATCGCAATTTCACTGCAGTTTTTGCTGCTCGAGACGCATTTCGTGGGAAAGGTTTGGCCCAGCGCAAACCCAAATTGTAATGTCACGTCAATTTTAGAATATCGACATTTCGTTCGGGAGGGTTGCGTTTCGTCGACATCAAGCCACGCTGTCCTGCCGCCCAAAAAGGCAATGTAGAAAAAGTTTTTAGCTTGTAGGTGCCTTTAAGAAACTGATCTCCACCTGCATCTTTACATCTGCCACGCTACACCTGCATATATCAACTTGCAGGTGTTTTCAAAAAAATGATCTCTGCCTGCACATATATATATAATATAACATCTCTCTCTCTCTCTCTCCCCTCCTCTCTCTCTCTCTCTATGCCGGCATACATCTGCGTATATTCGTGCGTGTGGTAGTTGGTAGTTTCGTTCAAGAAAATTCTGCGTGCCTGTATTTATGCACCTGCACCTAAACTTGCGTGAACAAGAGAGAGAGAGATATATATATATATCAACATCGTATTAATAACCCCCCCCTCCCCCCCCAAACATTAAGAGCATCAGAATAAAGTTAGGGCCAAACATTCAACTATCGTAAAAATCACCTATGTATTCCCAAATGAATTGCCTAATTGAAAACGAATACATAAGGGAACTTTCCAAAAAAACATATCATCTATGTATTCCCAAATGAATTGCCTAATTGAAAACGAATACATAAGGGAACTTTCCCTCCAAAAAAAAAATAACCTATGTATTCCCAAATGAATTGCCTAATTGAAAACGAATACATAAGGGAACTTTCCCTCCAAAAAAAAAAGAACTTATGTATTCCCAAATGAATTGCCTAATTGAAAACGAATACATAAGGGAACTTTCCCTCAAAAAAAAAAAACACCTATGTATTCCCAAATGAATTGCCTAATTGAAAACGAATACATAAGGGAACTTTCCCTCCAAAAAAAAGAACTATGTATTCCCAAATGAATTGCCTAATTGAAAACGAATACATACAGTGAACTTTCTTGGAACTTCAGTATTCACAATTTAATTAACCACCAAAATTTTTGAACACTGAAATCCAAATACTTTATTTAGGGGTGTGCAAACATACATTATTATTTTGATGTCAGGGGACTTCAAGGCTACCCCTTTTGCGCGATTGTTTTTTGGCATTTTTTGAAAGGGTTTAGTAAGGAAATCGACCATTTGAGCCTTGTTGATTTTTTTTCACTCCAGAACTTTTCAGGCAAGATATGGAGTTTGGAGTTTACTGCTTCCAGCTCAAAGAGTCTTGAGGGCTTCAGAAAGGGTTTGAGAAGGGGTTCAACTAGGAAAGGAATTGAGAAACAAATCTAATTAACCACCAAAATTTTAGAACCCTGAAATCCAAATACTTTATTGAGGGGTGCGCAAACATACATTATTATTTTGATGTCAGGGGACTTCAAGGCTACTACCCCCTTTGCGCGATTGTTTTTTGGCATTTTTTGAAAGGGTTTAGTAAGGAAATCGACCATTTGAGCCTTGTTGATTTTTTTGCACTCCAGAACTTTTCCAAAAGAAAATCACCTATGTATTCCCAAATGAATTGCCTAATTGAAAACGAATACATAAGGGAAAAAACGGAAAAAACGGGGAAAAAAAGTTGGCGTACTTTATTACGGGGGGGTTTCATTATTGTGAACCGGGAGTTGGCCTACTTTATTGCGGGGGGGTTTATTAACGCCATGTGACCATTATATACATATACACCTGCATCGACACCTGAGTATAACAATCTCATGTGTAGGTGATTGTAGGTGTATTAAGAAAGATCTGATGATCATACGGGGGGCATGAATAAAGTCTGATTCCGAAACTTCTCCGGATTGTGGGCAACTAGGATTGCGCAACTCTTTGGTCGGATTGCGCAACTAGGATTGCGCAACTCCCAGGATTGCGCAACTCTGCTTGCGCAACTCCTAGGATTGCGCAACTCTGCTTGCGCAACTCCTAGGATTGCGCAACTCTTTGGTCGGATTGCGCAACTACTTTCGACAGATTCCGCAACTCCCAGGATTGCGCAACTCTTTGGTCGGATTGCGCGACTACTTTCGACAGATTGCGCAACTCCCAGGATTGCGCAACTCTTTGGTCGGATTGCGCAACTACTTTCGACAGATTGCGCAACTCCCAGGATTGCGCAACTCTTTGGTCGGATTGCGCAACTACTTTCCACAGATTGCGCAACTCCCAGGATTGCGCAACTCTTCGGTCAAATTGCGTAACTAGTGACTTGGAGTCTCCACAAGGTTAGGATGATATCAAAATTCTCACCCCCATGGAACTTCAAACTGACTTGGAGTCTCCACAAAGTTAAGATGATATGAAAATTCCCACCCCCATGGAAGTTCAAACTGACTTGGAGTCTCCACTAGGTGGAGATGATATGAAAATTCGCACCCCCATGGAACTTCAAACTACCTTGGCGTGTCCACAAGTTAAAGACGATATCAAAATTCCCGCCCCCATGGAACTTCAAACTGACTTGGAGTCTCCGCAAGGCTAAGATGATATCAAAATTCCCGCCCCCATGGAACTTCAAACTGACTTGGCGTGTCCACAAGTTCAAGATGATATCAAAAATCCATCCCCATGGAACTTCAAACTGACTTGCAGTCTCCACAAGGTTAAGATGATATGAAAATTCCCACCCCCATGGAACTTCAAACTGACTGGGAGTCTCCGCAAGTTGAAGATGATATGAAAATTTCCACCCCCATGGAACTTCAAACTACCTTGGCGTGTCCACAAGTTAAAGATGATATCAAAATTCCCGCCCCCATGGAACTTCAAACTGACTTGGAGTCTCCACAAGGCTAAGATGATATCAAAATTCCCGCCCCCATGGAACTTCAAACCGACTTGGCGTGTCCACAAGTTCAAGATGATATCAAAAATTCCCATCCCCATGGAACGTCAAACTGACTTGCAGTCTGCACAAGGTTAAGATGATATGAAAATTCCCACCCCCATGGAACTTCAAACTGACTTGGAGTCTCCACAAGGTTAAGATGATATGAAAATTCCCACCCCCATGGAACTTCAAACTGGCTTGGAGTGTCCGCAAGTTGAAGACGATATCAAAATTCCCGCCCCCATAGAACTTCAAACTGACTTGGAGTCTCCGCAAGGCTAAGATGATATCAAAATTCCCACCCCCATGGAACTTCAAACTGACTTGGAATCTCCACAAGGTTAAGATGATATCAAAATTCCCATCCCCATGGAACTTCAAACTGACTTGGAGTCTCCGCAAGGTTAAGATGATATGAAAATTCCCACCCCCATGGAACTTCAAACTGACTTGGAGTCTCCACAAGGTTAAGATGATATAAAAATTCTCACCCCCATGGAACTTCAAACTGACTTGGAGTCTCCACAAGTTGAAGATGATATCAAAATTCCCACCCCCATGGAACTTCAAACTGACTTGGAGTATTCACAAGGTTAAGATGATATGAAGATTCCCACCCCCATGGAACTTCAAATGACTTGGAGTCTCCACAAGGTTAAGAGAATTTCAAACTGAGGCTTTAATTCTGCAACTTGGAATTTCACTGTTTCCTGATCTGCCTTCACAGATTCGCAGCACCCGTGCAACCATCTCCACGTAAAGATTCACCATCTCTCTGCAGACTTTCACAGCACCAGTTTCACAATCGCCCCCCAGCTTTTCAGAATTTGTCTTCAGAGTTTCTCAATCCGCCTTCAAAGTTGCACAATCCTAGTTTCACAATCCGTGCGCAGAGTTTCACAATCCTAGTTTCACAATCAGTATCTAGAGTTTCACAATCCGCCTTCAGAGTTGCACAATCCTAGTTGCACAATCCGTCCCCAGAGTTTCACAATCCGCCTGCAGAGTTGCACAATCTCAGTTTCTCAATCCGCCCCCAGAGTTTCACAATCCGTCTACATAGTTTCACAATCCGCCTTTAGAGTTTCACAATCCCAGTTTCACAATCCGTCTCCAGAGTTTCACAATCCAATTTTAGAGTTTCACAATCTGATTTTCAAGTTTCACAATCCGACTTTCCAGTTTCACAATACTAGTTTCACAATCCGTCCGGGAAGTTTCACAATCCAAGTTTCACAATCCGACCGGGAAGTTTCACAATCCGACCGGGAAGTTTCACAATCCAACCGGAAAGTTTCACAATCCAACGTTGACCTACGGGCATGGTTGATGAAAAACAATATGATGATGATGATGATGGTGATGATGATGATGATGATGATTCACCATACCATCGGGTATTGTGGGGGAACTTCACCCTGATGACATTTTCGAGATTCAAAATCACATTTTCACAATACAACGGTCAAAATTAAAGATGTAACTTGGGGTATGATCATCCATCCTACAATGGGAACCCTTCTATACTATATAACTCCGTATTATTGAGTTGACGTCCATCCCCCAATATGTTGACCCAGTTGATCCCTTTTCAGAGCGCTCTGTTGAGGTCCGCTCTTTGAGTCCAAACGATCCGGTTACATGTGATGACTTCGCTATCAGAAGCGGCTCCGCGTTGTTGGTAGAAAACAGAAGTTCAAGTGTCTCTCCGCCATGTAACCTTACCCGGTACTTTGCCATTTTTTTGCAGGTGAACTTCGCAACTCTCCCGGCCCAGAATCAATTTTTCAGGAACGTCTCAACAGTGAATGTGACTTTCGAGGGGGACGCTAGTCATCTGACCTTCAGTGTTTATCCGCCTGATGGTGCTACCGCCGCGGTTGGCCACACATTCCATCCGGGAGAGAACATTATTGACGTCAGCTCCTTCGGGCCCATTTCAGGTTTGGAATTGAGTGGATCCGATATATCCGATGGCGGAGGTCTTCCTCTTGGAATTGAATTTCTGCAATATAATGGCTTCACCCTATGCGGCACCCAAGCAACTGTTGTGGGCGACCCCCACATTAAAACGCTGGATGGAAGACACTACACGTTGATGAACCAAGGGACCTTTTCCTTATGGAGGTGCCATGGCCCGGTTTGAACACTCGATTTTGGTGAAGCTGGTTGAAAGGACTAACAGTGACTAACATATCGCTTTTTACAAAGTTCCTTCACCAACACATTCAATTCAGCTGGAAAAACCTGATGATCAAATGATTCAACGTCAAAAGGAGACCCGAGACTTAAAGGGTGTTTTTGACCTGTCCCTTTCACAGAGATAGGACTTTGGACAGTCATTTTCAAAACGTGGGCGCAGAGAAGTTCTACTGTCTAGACTATGGGTCTCTATTAGATGTAAGGGTGACATCATCGACATCATCTAACATGTCTTTTTTAGTTCGAGAGGGAGACCAGTAGTCTCTCTTGAAAAGCAACGTCATTTCTGAGTGAATTTTATTTCTGATAGGCTTCAAAATAGTCCTTGGTTGACAGCAAATCTCAGCAAATACTGCAGTTGTTTGGGCTATTGAAGTTTGAGGAACAGGAGATGGAGTGAGTTGTAGTTTCGTTTCACTGCGAGGGCCACATTGTCCCATTGCCACTGTCTTCAGGTATTCAGGTGTGAGCGCGGACGTGATGATGCAAAACCTTTTCGTATCCTCGACAAGTATTGATGTGACTTGGTACTGTGGCCGTTTGCTGGATACGTTGACATGGGCATGACTTTTCACAGACTACCGGCTCAGTGATTTTGGTCCCTTTCAGATCCTTTTAGTACGCAGGGAACCATCCAAACGCTGGGCGCCCGATTTTGAACCATTGTCAAATGACCAAAACGGCGCCTTGGGATTCGGAGGCGTGCGGCAGTTGAAAGAGTCTAGCGTCACCATAAATCCAGCAAGGTTCTATGGCTTCAAATTTTTGCAGGCATGCCTCTAGAATGCCATGCATGTTTGGCTACATGATGCTACATGAATGTTTAGCCAGGGTTTTCAGGATCAGAAGGGGCGTGACATTTTGATCGAGAAGGGGCGTGCGCACGAGATTTCACGGGGGCCCATGGGATTTGAATCCCAACTGACAGTTGGTAGTGACATGTAACTACGGTAACGACATTTAAATATGTGGAGGCCGGGCCAGACCGCGAGGCCCCGGAGGTAGTATGGAAGACCAGTTCGTATATTTGCTGGGGCAAAAGACGCAGCGCGAGCACCTCAACCTGCCATTTCTGCAGGGTTGTAGGTGCCCAAACAACCGTTCCAGGCACCCGATAGTCCCCGTTTCTCCCAAAGACAGTGTTTGATCCGATTTTCGCATGTACTCTCAATGTTAAACCTGTACGGCGCAACCCTGACGTTGCTCCGCAGCGGAATCGCGGAAGGGTTGCGTATTTTTGAAATGCCATGTCGGTCGACTTTCAATATGTAGATGATTGTAGATGTATATGTGATTCATGATGATGGCAATCATCATCATCATCATCATCATCATCACCATCACCATCACCATCACCATCACCATCACCATCACCATCACCATCACCATCACCATCACCATCCCCATCGTCATCGTCATCGTCATCGTCATCGTCATCGTCATCGTCATCGTCATCGTCATCGTCATCGTCATCGTCATCGTCATCGTCATCTTCATCATCATCATCATCATCCTCATTCTCATTCTCATTCTCATCCTCGTCCTCATCCTCATCCTCATCCTCATCCTCATCCGGAGCAGCGTCCGGGTTGGACGGAACCTGCAGAACCCCACTTGAGAGTCATGATTGACTTATGATTGATAGTCAACAATATCCTACATAGACTATAGATGTGCTTGTTTCAACACCAGAACAAAACGAGTTGCACAGAAACTGTCGAACGACGTCAAACGATTTGAACGGCTTGAGGTGGACTGGCAAGTGTACGCGCACTACAGCGGCCATCAATCGTACACCAAAGGTTTGCTCCTCTTGGACAAGTCAGGTGGATCAGTGCGACAGTCGCTGGAAATCACCTCCAAGGAGTCTTGGATTTTTGGGCACGTCACGGTCACCGGTTGGATCCGTGGATCCGTGAAGGATCCGTGAAGACAGAATCGTTCATGCCAAAGAACCTTTCAAAATACCAGGGAATTCCATAAAAATATCAGAGTGTTCAAGCAGCTATGGTGTGGGAGTGACAGTGCGGAAACCCTTCCACACTGCTCTAACATGTTTGAACTATAGCTTGAAGCAGTCTACAAGTTCTCTGCCCAACGTGATGTAAAGGGGCCAAACATCTAATGTGGCGGCATTCCCATTTGCTTTGAGGCATTGCCCAACGGACCCATGGAGAAAAGGGTATTGCATGCTACAGGCATGAGGCTGCTTTGTGTTTTGTGCAAGGTAGGAGTCTTGAGACAAATCACATCAGGGGGACAGATTATGATTTTAGATTGCAAAATTTCAACAGATGCATGAAAACCCAAAGCTTTCCAGAGAGCGCTGCGTTGCAGTGTTTTCGAGAACACAACATTTTGAATGCTTGAGGGCAAATATACTTGCACCCAACAAAGACGTTTTCTCAGCACATCATGCCCCAAATAATCCCAAATATCAGAAAGGCAGACCCCAGAACACTGACTCTGCACCACGCCTAACAAGTAAGTAACTAAGCAGATCTAAGCAGGTTTAAGAAATCATGAAACTTGAAATTTTGCTACTTGCATGAATTCCCCACTTGTCACCGTGGTCCAAATTTCTAGGGCCCGTTCATGTGGGCCGAGTTCGTAAGGATTGTCAATGGAGAGCATCAGCATCTGAGCAGGATCCCTCTGCGACCGGTTGCTGGCATTCGCCCAACAATTCTTATTCTTTGTGATATTTGTTTTCAACAGCTCAGCTGGTCTTCCAGGTTGTTGTCCTTTTTGATTCCATCATTTGTTTAACACCTTACGCAGACAAAGTCATTTCTTCGGCAGCTGTTGCCGTTGTCCAAAATCAAGGCCTACAACTCCATACAGCAAACAATCGGACTCGAGTATCCTTCGTGATGATCAAGCAGGGCGTGAGGAAGGAAGTTGCGAAGCTAAGCGTGAGTTGCCGGAAAGGGCACAACATCAACGTGGCCATAGACATGAAACACTCTGCGGATCTTCGTTTCGTCGATGGGGAGTTGCGCAGCTTGTCATATTTGTTTGTTATGGTTCTCAGTCACAGGTTCTCCATGCAGATGTATTTTTGTACAGTTCTAGCAACGGATGCAAACCCACTGCCACACTGAAGTTCCTAAACTCCTGGTGACTAGGAGGCCCATGGAACCTCCGAACTTCCATGGCAGGTGTTGCTCGAAGTGGTGCGCCTGTCTCCACTCTGCAAACGGAGTCCGCTGAGTTTGAGGTCAAAACTCCTTGGTACCTCGGACCACCGAAGTGAGTGGTTATACAACCATTGTTATCGGGGTTACCCTCTGGTGAACTAACATAGCAATGGAAAATGGCCATAGAAATAGTGGATTTTCCCATTAAACATGGTGATTTTCCATTGCTATGTTAGTTCACCAGAGGGTATATCCCAGCTAATCCTCTCCCCCTAATACTAAACCCCGGCCCCCCCAAATAATAAACACGTCAGGTAGTTTTCATGATTAGGGGTATTCACGTCGCTTCGCGACGGCAACCGCCCGCACCGCATCGTTGGGCTCACACAGCAGAGATATATCTATATATATATAAAGATCATATATGTACATATCGAGTGAACGGTCCACACTGTTAATGATGTCAGCCATTGTTCTCTTCTACTGCCATTGTTCTCTTCTATTGCCGTCGCTCCGCGACAAGAACCCCTGTGCGGCCGCCACGGTTTGAACGATGTTGTTCTCACACCTTCGCGACCGCTCGTAACTGCCAATGATGTCGGCCATTGAGACCAAAAACATCCGAAAGTACTGATTGTCGGAAAAAAAACGCGAAGAATTTGATAGCCATGTATAGCGGACCAACGCAGTTCAAAAAAAAGCGAAAAACCTGAAAAAACGGCGAAATTGCTGTTATTTACAGTGTTTTTGCGCGGTGAGAAGCAGAAACCACTGCAAATACCATGGTTTTTGAGGGTCAGGTGGCCAAAAACACTGTAATTTACAGTGTTTTTTTAACCAACGTCAAAAAACACTGGTATTTACGATGTTTTCATTCACACCGTAACATAAAACAGATTAAAACAGCGTAATTTACGAGGTTTTTGGAAGTTTTGAAGCTAGCCGTCAAGCATGCAGAAAACAGAAAAACACTGTAAAAACCAGTGTTTCTGCTATCACAAAACGACGAAAATCAGTCCGAAAACGGGTCCAAAAACTCAAAAATCCGCCTCCGGGCCCGGCCACCTGCGGAACCGCAAAAAAAGATGTTGCAAACCAAAAAATTGAGGTCAAAAAGTTGAAAAACACGGGTTTTTTCACTTTTCGCTTGCCGATTTTGGACGGGCGCGTTCACGAACAGGTGTCTTCCGTACTGTTTTTTACAGTGTTTTTTGAAGGCGAGCGTCACGACCTATCAAAAACAGGAGGTTTTGGCCGAATAATGCCCCCCCCCCCAGGTAAACCTGTAACCTTTTACGAGTGCCATCCGGACGATCACGCCCCAGCACCTTAGGTGCGGGCGGATTTGTTATTAGAGAACCAGAGCGGACCCTAACAATAAATTTAAACCCTTTACAAAAAAAACTTGTTTTTTCGATTTCAAAATCAATTAAATGTTCTTTTAGAACGCAATTTCAATATTGCCAAAAATTGGATTTCGAGCGGACCCTAATAATCAATGTAAACCTTTAATAAAAAAGAGTTACTTTTTCAATTTTAAAATCAATTAAATTTCCATAAATTTCCTTTTAATGACCCAATTTCAATATTGCCAAAAATTGGATTTCGAAGCTTCCCCCTAAGTAGCATTAAAAACACATTAAACAACTAAAATTTTCGGACGGGCCCTAATAAAAAACACCCCGGGGTTGACTAGTTTTTATGCTTAGGTGGAGAAACCAAAAAAAGGAGCCTGGTTTTTAAATTGTTTTCTAAAGGGGATCAATTCAAATTGGCCAACCTGAAATTTTCCAAAATTGCAGATGGACCCTAGTTTTTATTATTCGGGGGGGGGTTTTAGTAAACGGGGGAAGGGATTCTTCATGATTATTCCCTACTGACCTAATAATAGGGGTTGATTGAATCGTGAAAAACAGGTGTGTACCCATTAATAACCCCAACTGCAGCCCCTACTGAGACACACGCACACAATGCTTGACTTGACATGTGTCTGCTTCTCGAATCTTCCAGCTCTAGGAAAGACCTTGGAGGGAGTGATTCAGCATCTTTGTACCTACAGGCAGGGACAATTGCTATGTGGATTCACCTAGCAATTCTCACAGCTGAGAAGGACAAATAAAATCAAATAAACACATGCAAAGCAATGGAACCTTTCAAAAGAACTTCGGCTGACTAAGTGTATTGGATTCTATTGGATTGTATTGTCACAACGATAACACCGATTTGGCAGTAAACTTCATTTTGTCCACGTGAATCGGCTGTACTGCAGAGTTGACAAATCACGTGCTGATGATGGCTATACTTCTACCTCTTGAACCTTCAAGTCCCAGGTCATTTTTTTTCTTGCCGCCTTGGAAGGTCTGGTAAGGTCTCCAAGAGAACAACTGCACGGGGCGACTGTTTCTGCCCAGTTTTTCTCGTGGCAGGAAGCGGATGCATCTGGTGGTGGACTGAACTTGCTCCAGACCTGCGAGGATGCGCAGATGGTCTATGCCTTTGATCTGTGTTCCAAGCACTTGGGCGCTGACATGCAGCAGGCGACCAGTACGGTTGCTGTTTGCTGTGACAACCGGTTCCACAAGCCACGAGTGGGAAAAACATGGAAAAACGCCAAGGTAATACCTGCAGTCAGTATATCAGTATATCTCGTTGTCAGGTCCATCAGGTCCATCAGGTCCATCAGGTCCATCAGGTCCATCAGGTCCATCAGGTCCATCAGGTCCATCAGGTCCATCAGGTCCATCAGGTCCATAGCTCTTCTGTGTAACAGTTAAACACTTGATTTGTCAGGCCGATGGTCCAGATGGCGACTTCTTCAACGACTGCGTTTTTGATGTTTGCCGTGGCGGAGAGGCGGACGGGCGCCGTTGCGTGACGTTTTTTTGAACCTTCGTCACCAGCCGTTCGATCCGTCGCATCCCAGGTAGCTGCTGAACTGGCTGCCGAACTCATTGCGGTCAGGCGCATGTGAGCCATGGCTATCCATGGCCTCAGAGTGTCGTGAGTTCTGCATGACAATCTGAAACAATGGGTGGTTTTGATGTTAAAATTTTGCTCAATGGTACGATGTAGAAACGAGATGGCTTTGAATTCTCGTCACGGCTGGATCGCACACCAAAGTGTGATATCAATGCCACTTGCTGGGAGCGAGCGTTTTAAACTGCTCCGTCCTCATTTTAAAAGAGGCACTCTATGCGTTTCTTACGGTGTTTGCCTGATGTTTATGTGAACCATTAAAAATAGCCTTGTTGATTGGTTGATATAGGGACTTCTGCTAATTACCTCATTTTCATGGATTATGATAACTCATGGGAAACCTATCATCCAACTATAACGAGATGGGATAAGGGTATTTTTCATACTTCATGCGCGCTGTTTTGCAGAGTTTCCTTTTTAGCTCCACATGAACCATGGCCGCAGCACAGCGCAAAGGTATCAAAACTGGACATGCTGCACTCATGTTAGGTACCCTTTGGTAAACTAACATAGCTATGGAAAATAACTTTTTTAATTGAGTAAATCCACTATTTCTATGGCCATTTTCAAGTTCGCAAACTGTAAACGTTTACCAGGCCGGGTAACCCCTGAGGAAGTTGATGTTTTCTGCAAGGCGGAGACTGACCATAGCTGACCCATCGTTGTTTTCACACGCCATGTCCAAATGGACTTGGTCGATTTCATGTTGACCGTCAGACTCAGCAGTTGCAGTTGAAATTTTCTATACCTCTCCGAGAAATGCATATTCTGAAAAAACACTTGAAAGGCCACATCGGTTTACAAAAAGATGGTGAACATGTGCAGTTTGTCCACTACTGTCCACTACGCGATGCATGGTGAAGTATTTTCGCATTGCGCATTCCAAACGTGGTCCATTCGAACTCTCACACATCGATCTCCTTCCACAGATGAATCCAATACTCCCGTAGTCCTGGTGAGATGTTCATTTTTCATCATTTTTCATGCTCAACCAACCCCTCCTGCCATGGCAGCTGCTCTGATGCTAGCGCGGATGGCCACGTGCCACGCGTGCCACGCGTGCCACGTGGACGCTTCCAGCGAAATGGTCATGGGCGATGGAGTCGATGGAACGACACCAGTCAGTTGTGGAGTGCACCAGAGGCATCGCCGATTGCAAGGAGAGAAAACAGTGGCAGAAAGCTTCATGGTTATTGACCCAGCTGAAGATACAAGGTCTTCAGGCTGATGAGATTACTTACAATGCCTTAATCAGTGCTGGCCAGTGGCAACAAGCAGTGCAGTGGCTCTTGCAGCTTCAAGAGATTCGTTTGCGCGCGCAGGTCATTTCTTACGGTGCAGCAGTCAATGCATGTGCTGAGGCATCCAAGTGGCAGCAGGCATTGGCGTTGCTTTGGGAGCTGGAAAAGGAGGTGGTTTCACCAAATACCATAGTTTGTAATTCAGTGATCAGTGCCTGCGCAAGAGCCTCTCAAAGCCAAGTGGCTCTTGAAGTGATCGGTGGACTGGCAGAAAGAAACCTAGAGCACAACCTGTTGACCTTCACTATTGCAATCACTGTGTATGAGAAGATGAGCATGTGGCCCAAGGGTTTGTCCTTGCTAGTGAGCATGAAAGACAAGGGTCTGGAAGGGAATTCAATTTCCTACACCACTACCATTAAAAGCTGTGAGTGGCGAAGATCACAGGAACTCCTTTCTGATGTCCAGAAAAAAAGCAGAGCTGATAGTATCCTTTACAGTGCTTGCATCGGTGCTTGTGAGCAAGCAACACACTGGCAACAAGCACTTGGAACTTTGGACATGCTTGCGATCCACGGACTTCAGGCTGGTGTCGCCTTGAATGCAGCTAGCAGTGCAGGGCAAAAGGCAAATCTTTGGACATCTACCTTGGCCATGCTGACCACTGAGAGATGGAGCCAAGCAGATGTGATCTCCTTTAACTCGGTCATCAGTTCTTGTAAAGCTCAATGGCCGCTGGCCCATCACCTTCTCGCGGGAATGCAGGCGCAAAGCTTGAAGCCCGACCTGATTGGATACAATAGCGGGATAAGTTCATGTGCTGCGGCAGAATGGCAACGTGCATTGGAGCTTTTCAAAGGCTTGCAGTGTGGGCCATGGAATTTGCGCGTCAACGCTGTGACCTTTGGTGCTTCAACGAGTGTGTTGGAGTCTACATCTGAATGGCTTTGGGCTCTTGAACTCTTGCAGAAGGCGACCTCATGTGGAGAGGCCAATGCCATCACTTACAGTGCAGCCATCGGTGCATGTGAAACGGCCAACCTTTGGCAGCAAGCCTTGCTACTTCTTCAACAGCTTGAAACTGGAAGGGTGGAAGGTCGCTTGCTGGGCTATAGTGGAGCCATTGGTGCCTGTGGCAGAGCTGGACGCTGGGAACAGGCCTTGCTACTGCTCCAGAGATGTTGTGAAAGCAGCCGGCCCTCCATCGTGACCTTTGGTGCTGCGGCCAAGGCCTGTGAAAGATCTGCCAAGTGGCAAGAAGCCTTGGAACTGCTGCTGCAAGTTGAGAGTCATCAGCTAAGTTGTAATGTGATCATGATGAACTCAGCCATCAGTTCTTGTGAAAAAGCCTCCGAATGGCGCCAAGCCCTTCACCTCTTGGGAGACTTTGCAACACAGTCTTTGCAAGCTGACATCATCAGTTACAATGCGGCCATCAGTGCCTGTGAGTTCTCGGCGCCTTTGGGTTTGAGCCTAGCTTTACTCAATGAGGCCCGGCTTCAACGACTGGTCAATGTGATTACTTTCAGTGCTACCATCAGTGCGTGCGAGAAAGCAACTGCCTGGCAATCTGCTTCTTGTTCGGTGCTTACTTTTCACTGTTTTGTTTCAATTTCCATCCCCCAAAAAGTAATGGATGATGTTCCCTAGCGACATTCAACTTGTTACCTTCACAATCATTTACATCTGTATATTAATCATTCTTCATCCCCCAAATTGGATACAGTAGTGTTCTTCACGACTTGCCATCAATTTTTGATGGGAAACTGTGGGAAGCCGTAACTTTTACCAGGCTGACACCACCCAGTCACCCAGGCTGTGTATTTCTTGGATCATCTCCAGCAGTTCCATTTGGAAGCCAACTTGGTGACCTGCAACGCTGTGATGGCTGCATGTGAGAAGGCCTCTCAATGGCTACAGGCACGGCACGGGTCGGGGTCGTTAGGTTACTCCAGAGGGGTAACATATGCTGTTGATATCTGTTTATTTATTTGAAGTATATATCTGTCTATATCTGTTTAACCTGTTCATATCTGTTTATCTTTGGTTAACATAGACCCGGGCAAGCCGGCGGCGGAAGTTTCCCAAACATAAATGACCTATAGTTCAAAGACAACCTGTCCCGACCGTGTCCTTCCCTCGACAACCGTTTGATTTTTTCAGCGAGAGACGAAGCAAAGTCTTCACACTCCACACTCCACACTTCACACTGCACTCTTCGCACTCTTCGCACTCCAAACTTCAAACTTCACACTCCACACTTCACACTTCACACTCCACACTTCACACTTCACAGTCCACACTTCACACTTCTCACTTCTCACTGCTTCCTTCACACTCCAAACCTCACACTTCACACTTCACACTTCACACTGCGCTCTTCGCACTCCAAACTAAACTTCACACTCCACACTTCACACTCCACACTTCACACTCCACACTTCACACTTTTCACTTCCCACTGCTTCCTTCACACTTCACACTGCACTCTTTACGCCCCACACTTCCCACTGCTCTAAACCTACGTGCAACAAAAAAACACTAGTGCCAAAATGGAGAATTTCTGCTAACAAATTTATTTCGCAGCCTTCATGCAGCCACTCCAAGACGATTTATGAAGTCGAGCTGCAAAAGACAATAGTATGACAAATGCAGCCACAGTACGACGCAACCTTGACGCAGCTATTACAATGCGATCTGCAGAGACTGAGTTGCAAAACACAATAGAACTACGCGCAACGGCGTCGGAAATTGTAGCTCCAAAACCGGATCTCGACGCCAGAGCGAAAAAAAGACGATTTTGAAGCACTTTTTAAAGGATTTTTAGACGGAAAATCACTAGCGCCAAAATGGAGAAAATCTGCTAACAAATCCATGTCGCAGCCTTCATGCAGCCACTCCAATACGATTTACGAGATCCAGCTGCAAAAGACAATAGTATTACCAATGCAGCCACAGCACGAAGCAACCTTGACGCAACCACCCGACACTGCGGGAACGATCCTACAGTTGCAAAACACAATGGAATTCCATCGGCAACTCATCCACCAGCACCACTTGCAATCCCATTTACATTGCGGGAACGACCCTACAGTTACAAATCACAATGGAATTCTGTCGACTGCACATGCACGAAACACAGGTGAAACCCCATTTACAATGCGGAACCGATCCGACCATGATCCGAGCATGATCCGAACATGATCCGAACATGATCCGACCACACACGAGACCGTCTCGCACCCGTCGCACCGCAGAGGTAGATATATCATCGAGGTTCGGGGACGGACTTTGTATGGAAAAACATAGGGTTTCGTGCATCTGCTATCTCTCAAAAACGCATTTCGTGCGAGACTTCCTCCAAAACTCCATCGGCAACTCATCCACCAGCACCACTTGCAATCCCATTTACAGTGAGGGAACGATCCTAGAGTTGCAAATCACAATGGAATTCCATCGGCAACTCATCCACCAGCACCACTTGCAATCCCATTTACATTGCGGGAACGATCCTACAGTTGCAAATCACAATGGAATTCTGTCGACCACACATGCACGAAAAACAGGTTGAAACCCCATTTACAATGCGGAACCGATCCGACCATGATCCGACCATGATCCGAACATGATCCGACCACACACGAGACCGTCTCGCACCCGTCGCACCGCAGAGGTAGATCATCGAGGTTCGGGGACGGACTTTGTATGGAAAAACATAGGTTTCGTGCATCTGCTATCTCTCAAAAACGCATTTCGTGCGAGACTTCCTCCAAAACTCCATCGGCAACTCATCCACCAGCACCACTTGCAACCCCATTTACATTGCTTTCCCTGACATTCTAAAAGTTACAAAAGTTACAATTAACTCTTTCCCTGACTAACTCTTTCCCTCACTAACTCTTTCTTTGACTAACTCTTTCCCTTACATTCTAAGGTTTTTTGACTAACTCTTTCTCTGACATTCTAAAAGTCCGTAACACGGAAGTTTCTCCCCCTAAACTTCCTTTGATCATATTGATGGCATTGCGATGTTTCCATCCAATAAATGCCAGGAAATCTATCCCTGCACACCAATCGGGTTTTTCTGGGGATCTCACCAACATTTTTTGGGGGATAGGATAGGTTTATGGATCATGCTGGAATCGGGTAGTAAATGGGGGATGGTTTATGGCACATGCGACTGCCACATTGTTGTCATGGTCCGACATCTCAAAGTGGTGATGCACAGCTGCTGTCGAATCTCACGATGAAGTGTGGGTAATTAATGTTTGTTGATGTAGAAACTCCCTGATTGTTATCCATGTGGCATATATACGTATATATTATATACATTAATACATCCATATAGTTATTTTATTACTATTCATCCACATATCCATATAACTTCTACCTTAAAACCATTTACCTATACGTATATATATATATATAATTATACATACATACATACATGCATGCATGCATACATACATACATACAAACATACATACATACATACATACATACATCTATACATCTATACATCTATACATCTATCTATCTATCTATCTATCTGGTGGGATGACCACAGCTTCAGGCCTTGTCCTTGCTTGGACTGGCCTGGACACGGGATGTCCTCACCTTGGCCTCGGCCAGTGGAGCCCTGGACGTTGCCGGGAAGACGTTGGAAGTGCTGCCACTGTTGGATTTGGCCGAAGACATTGGAACTGCCGGGCTGGAAAGGATTGGGAAAGTTCCCAGAAGTTCCCAGTTGGGCTGAAAAATGAAGAGAAAAATGCTGTGAGATGCTGCCAGCAAAGTGTAAAAACTCGAGAATGTAGCAGTTGGGACCAAGTTCAGGGCTGTGCACAGTTGCTGTTTTGGAACTGAGAATGTCGCAGCTTGAAACGTTAGAAGAAGTGACCTCGAAAGAGTAGCAGCTTGGCAAACAGGCATGGCAACGTCACCGCAGTTGGATGAGAATCGAATTGGGACAACTGGGCCCCAACTTATGGCTGAAGTTTTCTTGTGAATTATGATGAAATTCAGACAGGTAAAGATTGTTGACACAAGACCAGACCGAATCATATCATCTTGGAGAGAAGGTGCACCAAATAGCTCAGCTAATCGCATCAATCATGGCGCTGTGCGCGCTTCGAGTTTCTGTGAAGTTTGGCAAGGCGGGCCATCCTGGGGTCGGGGGGGGGCCTCAATTGGTTCACCTTCACATCCTCCAACAGCCTCAGCAATTGGGGGTGACGTTGCAGGACTGCAAAGACCTGGAGTTCCAGACTGCAGATGTCACTTGTCTGAATGATTTGCTGGGAAGTGGTTCGCAATTTTCTCCATTTCATACTTCCCAGCTAGACTCCTAGACCATACTGAATTATTTTTTGGGGATTTGAGGTTCAACTTGACTGGGTCTGAGCGTAAAAAACTGTTGTGGAAGTCTCCTTAAAATAGGGAATCCCCAAAATCATCCAAGCCAATGGTTCTGTTGGTTATTCACGGTCGCTTCGCGACGAAAACCGCCCGCACCAAGTGTAATGGATTCGGGAAGTCTAAGAAGTTCGTCGTGCTTCACACTTGTGTTCCGTGTGTTGGGCTTATATTGAACTTATTGGGCACTTTTTAGCTACCTACGAGGCTATCTTGGCCCCATATGAGGGGATGTTGGCCCCATTTGAGGCTATGTGGGATAGGTATCAAAAAAAATGAAAACGGATCAACAAAAAATTAAAAGATAAAAAAAAATCAAACCGGCATATAAGAGGAGGAAAGAAGAAGGAAAGAAAGAAAGAAAGAAAAGAAAGAAAGATAGAAAGATAGAAAGAAAGAAAGAAAAGGAAAGAAAGAAAGAAAGAAAGAAAGAAAGAAAAGGAAAGAAAAGGAAAGAAAGAAAGAAAGAAAGAAAGAAAAGGAAAGAAAGAAAGAAAGAAAGAAAAGGAAAGAAAGAAAGAAAGAAAGAAAGAAAGAAAAGGAAAGAAAGAAAGAAAGAAAGAAAGAAAGAAAGAAAGAAAAGAAAACAAAGACATAAAAGAAAAGAAAGGAAAGAAAGAAAGGAAAGAAAGAAAAGAAAGAAAGAAAGGAAAGAAAGAAAAGAAAGAAAGAAAGAAAGAAAGAAAAGAAAGAAAGAAAGGAAAGAAAGAAAGGAAAGAAAGAAAAGAAAGAAAGAAAGATAGATAGAAAGAAAGAAAGAAAGAAAGAAAGAAAGATACCAACTATTCCTTTCTTTTTGCATAAGCATCATCGTTTATTTGGGTTAATTTCATCTTTGCTGATATCCATCGAGACTTGTGCCTATGTGCTTCTTTCTTGATCTTCTCGTTCTTACTTGCAATATATCCATTGAGACTTGTGCCTATGTGCTTCTCTTTTGGTACGCATTGCGGGGGGAGGCGCTGCGCCCTCCCCCCTGCACCCCCCCACCCGCTTTTATTTTTAAACCGGTTCCCCTTGCTACCTACTATTGCTTTCTTTTTGCATAAGCATCATCGTTTATTTGGGTTAATTTCATCTTTGTTGATATCCATCGAGACTTGTGCCTATGTGCTTCTTTCTTGATCTTCTCGTTCTTACTTGCAATATATCCATTGAGACTTGTGCCTATGTGCTTCTCTCTTGGTACGCATTGTGGGGTGCAAATTTGAAGTTCCATGCATCCCTGGTGGCATCAGCAACAGCAATTTGCCTGACAACAGTGTCATGGCCCAAAGTCAGCTTGGAGCTTAGACCCTTTACTCGGCGTGCTATCCGGAAAAGCAGCCAGTGCTCTTTCGCAGTGCTCAGACATTTGCGATCCATTTAGCACTAGGTTCCTTTAGATCAACTCTTTCTGTTGACCAGTGTTGGACCTAAAATCCACACTGGCAGCGGAGCCTGTGAGATCAGGTGACGCTCAAAGTAGAGCATCAGTGTGACGCAATGGCAATTGAGGCAACCATCAACCCAAAGTTGCCCACATGGAGTGGGGATTGGCTTCAATGGCCAGACTACAAGTTGTCGGTAGAATTGGAAGCGGATGCAACTTCCAAAGACGACCTCAGCAGACTTGCTCCAAAGTTGGTGAGAAACCTCACCGGAAAGGCATGGGAGACAGCGGTTGGCCTTGAGAGAGAGAAATTGAAAAGTGAAGATGGAGTGAACTATTTGCTTTCCTATTTGGAGGAGAAACGAGGCCGCCAAAAGGTTGATGTCCTCGGAGATGCTCTTGGAGTCTATTTCCAAAAGAGCGAGATAGTGCGAAAAGATGGTGAGGTTTGGAATGACTTCGAAGCTCGCCATGCGGCTAAAGTCCGAGACATCAACAAAGCTCTGGTCGCAGTCGGCGCAAAAGGTGATACTCCAAGTGAAATCTGGGGTTGGTTCCTTTTGCACCAGTTTGTCCGCCTTGAGCCCTCCGACGTGGCCACCGTGAAGTCTTTTGCCAAGAACTACCAGCTTGATGAAGTCTGTAGAGCCATGCGTCAACTATGGGGAGGTGATAGCCTTGCTCTCCGTGACCAGGAGCGCAAAAAGGCAAAGAACAATGTCAAGGTTTTGATGAATGAGCCCAACACGCCTGATGACAATGGCATTTGGTTAGGATCTCCAGATCTTGACGGTGAGGAAGTGAATCATGAAGATGATCCGGATCTCACTGAGGATGAGATCTCAGTCTTGTTTGATGAAGCATGCGAGGCCCTTCATGAAGACCCTACTAACCCAGTAGTCCTTGCCAATTTCCAAGAGATGAAGAAGTTGAAGTACACGGAAGCCAGGAAGGCTCTGGACCGTAGCCGAACAGCCCGTGGATTCTTTCCCAACAGCACCCGAAGCAGCACGTCCATGAACTCCCGCACAAGGAAGCCACCACCTTTTGATGGTCTTTGCATGCGGTGCGGAAAACATGGCCACAAAGCCAGAGATTGTCTGCAGAAGGCTGCTCCTTCAAACTCTCGTCGTGAACCAGCTGCTGGAAAGATTGGTTTTGTGGGCTACTTGCAGGACGCCAACCAGGCTCTTGTGAATGACGCGGACACGATCATGGATACTGAGAGCGCAATGGTCTTTGAAGAGGACCTTGACTTTCTGTATCAAGAGAGCCATCCCATCCATGTGGCAGTGGCATGTGAGAAAGGAGCTGAGAACTCAGAGGGTCCTGGGTTCATTGGATCGACGCAGGAAACCACCCGTGACAAAGCAATCATTGACTGCGGGGCTTCCGAGTCCATTGTTGGAGCCAACATGTTGCAGGATTTCTGCGACACGCTTCATGAACTTGGCTTTGACCCAAAGTCGGAAGTCACGGTGGATCGTCAAGTGAAAAAGAGCTTCATCTTCGGCAACAATGAAACCAGTTCCTCACTTGGACTTGCCAAGGTCAACACTGGTATGTGTGGCACCGAACAATCAGTTGATCTGCACGTTGTGGAAGGATCGACACCCTTCCTGCTCTCCAGCAAATGGTTGTGGGAGCAAGAGGCGACTATCAACTTCAAGACGGGCAAGGCCCTTTTCCCCAAGTTGTCTGACAACCAGGTGCAGCTCGAACGAGCCCCTACATTCCATCTTCTTTTGCCACTCACGGCTTTTGAAGGAAATGGAAAGTTGATCAACGAGCTGCTGGTGACTGATGATGATCAGGATGTCTCTATCCTCAAGCTCCAGAGTGCGCCTCCTGAGAAGACCACGCTGAGTGAGGGGTCGGAATAGGGACATCTCCACCAAGATTGTCCATCGGTCACAGTCTTGAGTGGGCCAGAAATTTTGAATGCGGATCCGCATAGCGATAGTGTAGGGAGATCGGTCCCATTTTCCCAGACAGATCCAGCAGTGAGTTCCCTTGAGTGTTGTGGTGGTAACACTCTCTCTAACACTGTTCTGTCGCAAGTGGACTGCCCAATTTTGGCCGATATGCATGACAAGTTTGATCGAATTCGTTTTGAAAATGAACGAGAAACTATGCGGTGTTTTTCTTCCTTAGCTAATGGACGCCAGTTGGACTTGTTGGAAGTTTGTGCTCCTTGGGATTCCCCTCTCGCTTCTGCAGTTGAAAATCATGGTGGTACTGTTTTCAGAATGGGGATACATAACGGTTTTGATTTGGGTACTCGTGCTGGTTTTCTGAAAGCTGTTTATGTGTTGAAACGATTGCGTCCTCGTTACGTTCATGTCAGTCCTCCGTGTTTTCCCTTCTCAATTATGCAAAATGCAAATCAAAGGAATTCTGAACAAATCAGGGAACTTGAGGCAAAGCGACAAACAGGACGGCGCATTTTGCGTCATTGCACTCGCTTATTGGAGATTCAAATCATGGAGCTGGGATCTCAGGGTGGCTGGGCAACAGCCGATCATGCTGTTAGCCAAGAAGAACATGATGGTGGACTTGAACAACCACTTAGAGCCTTGTCTTGGAAAGAACCCAGTCTGAAGAAAGCCACTAGGTTATGTGGGGGACGCTTCCGTGTAGATGGGTGTCGGCACGGTTGTAAAGACTTGAAAACGGGACAACCCCTTCAAAAATCTTTTGGGTGGCTTAGTTCGTCTCTGGGGATACGTAAAGCTCTTCAAATGACTTGTAATCACCCACCAGGATACCATTTACCAATTGAAGGACACAGAACCGCAGCTTCTGCAGTATATCCATCACAGCTCTGTGAACGCTTTGCCCAGGCATTGATGAAAGATCGATCAGCCTTCTTGGGGTTAGTAGATGCATGCCAGGAAACACATGCGTTTGATGAGTGTTTTCATGAGGCAGGTCAGGCATCTGTTCAGGATGAAGAGAGACCACCGAACGCTGAGGGCCAGGATCCTCCCAGAGAATCACCAAATCCCATTTTGGGGGAAGAAAAATCTCAAGAAGACCAAGAAATCATCAGGAAACTCAGGGTTATTCATGCTAATTTGGGGCACCCCAACAAAACCACGATGGGAAGATTGTTGAAAGAAGCTGGGGTCACTCAAAAAGTCCTGCAATTAGCCGACCAAATGGAATGCACCGTGTGCCGACAAAGGGGTCGGCGAGCACCATTGCGACCAGCAGCAGTTCCGGCCGTCACTGAACCATGGGACACTATTTCTGTCGACACGTTTTGGTGGTCTTCACCTCACAAAAAGCAAGGGAAACCCCAAAGATTTTGTGTGGGAGTCAGTTTGTTTGATGAGGGAAGTAACTACCATGTTGTTGGAATAGTTCGACAAGGTGAAAAACCCCAAGAATCTATTACTGCTGAAGAATTTAAAACGTGTTTTCGGTCGTGTTGGTTGCGGTGCTTACCAAAACCCAAACGAATACGGTATGACTGTGAAGGTTTTTTCCGCAAGTTGGACCTTTTTCAGTGGCTGGAGGGTCAGGGGATTCGAGTGCAAGCCATCGCTGCAGAAGCGCCTTGGCAACTTGGCAAGCATTCGAAACACCTGGAGACTGTGAAAGAAAATGCAAGTCTCTTGGCCCTTGAAACGGCCGCTGATGTCGACGTGGAAGAGACGTTTGACGCCACTTTGGCAGCAAAGAATGAGCTGCATACGTTTCGTGGCTTTGCACCAAATCAATGGGCTTTCGGACAAAATTGTGATCGTGTGGGGTCCTTTTTGCAGAATGGAGAACATCCTGTCGTTCAGCAACAGAGGTCTAAACAGGTGTCTTTTGAGGATCACATGAAACGTAAAAACGAAGCTAGAATGATTTTCCTTAGGGAGGATGCCAAGCTTCGAATACAAAGAGCCGCACACGCAAACATTCGTCGTGCACAAGAGTTTGAAACCGGGCAGTTGGTTTACTTCTTCAGACGGGGTAGGGGTCATGGGAATAGGTATGAGAGTTATTGGTTTGGGCCCGCTAAAGTTGTTTGTGTTGAAAAAACGGGCGACCCCGAAAGGAATCAAAGTGCTGGTTCTGTTGTTTGGATTGTTCACGGTACCACTCTCTACCGCTGTGCACCAGAGCAACTTCGTGTGGTCACACATGAAGTTCAAAATTTGAGTCACTTGTTTGGATCCAAAGAAACTCCAAGTTCGATGCTTGAAAATGCTCGACAGAGCCAACAGTATAGAGATATCACTAGTGAATCTCAGCTGGTTGAACCTGATGCTGATGAAGCTGTTGATGAAGATCCAAACCTTGATGGCTCACTCGTTCGGGCTCAAGAAGAACTTTCCCGCACGTTAGAGCCCATCCGCCGACTCCGTGGTAAGCAGAATGTCCTTGAACACCTCTGCCCTCCTCAGCGCCCTGCAGACCAAGCAGGACAAGAACCGGCATCCGGAAGTGGAATCCAGCGAGAACCTCACTCAGAACTACCGCGAGATGGATCTCAAGCAGCTGGGAGAGATGGAGCAGAAGCACGGGAAGTACTCCGGGGTGAAGCTAGTGGACATCGTGGAAAAGAAGGAGGACTTCACATACCTGCGGTGGCTCGTAGAGCATCATCCAAAGAACCCCAAGTTTTTGGCCCTGCTGATCTATCTGGAGCGTCACGAGCTCGTGGCCAGTCAGCAAGCCAAGACAGCCGAGCCCAAGTCAGTGAAGAAGCCCGGCGAGACTTTGATACCCATGTCCAGTCAAAGCGGCTCGCCCTACCCAGCCGGGAACCAGGACTCAATGCTCAAGATCGAGATCCTCGAGAAGCGCATGCAGGAGATGCACTCCGAAATGCAGACAATGTTCCAAACGATTCTGGAGCTGAAGGATCACAATCGCCAGATCCAGGAGGCAGTCATGGTTCTCAGCAATCATGTGGCCGGACACCAGAATCGCATCCAACACCTCGAGGACACGGCAGTACTGCCCTCCGACTTCGAGCCAGTCCCGCCGTTCCAGCAAGGATGAGATCACGAAGCCGACACCGGGATCATGAGTCTGACTCCGTGCGGTGGAATGAGAGTCTACCCACTGGCGAAGATGCCTTCATGACCATTGGCGAAATTCTCTCTTCTGAGCCTGAGCCGGTTTTGTTTGATTCCGAAAAGGAATGCTTTCCAGTTGGTTGTGCACGCGTTCCTGCGAAGAACAGGACCAACCATGCACGGGATGGGATTAATCGTGGTTGTTTTTCTTGGATGCCTGATGATTGTTTTGGTGAGCCCACTGTTGATCAGGAGGAGACGCCCATTCCTGTGAATTACATGGTTGAAAATTCGGAAATGATTGAAATCACTATGATTGTGGCCCCAAGGGATGTCCATAATCAAAGGCGAAATGGAGTTCAAGAGTGGGTTCTGAATCAGAAACCCAAAAAGAATGCTGAAGTAAAACTCAAGACCCTCAATGAGGAAGAAAAAGCTGAATTCCGTGTTGCCATGCGGAGTGAGATTGACAGTTTTCTGGAAAGGGAAGCCATTGCCATTGCGTCAAGACACGGTATCGACCCCCAAAAGTTGTTGAACATGCGATGGGTTTTAACCTACAAGCCTATCACCGATGAACAGGGAGAAGTCACAGGACGTAAACCTAAAGCACGTCTTATTATTCGTGGTTTCGAAGACCCTAGCTTATTGCAGCTGAGTCGTGATTCACCAACCTTGTCTGTTCAAAGTCGAAACTTGATGCTGGCTCTGACAGCCATTCACCATTGGCCTCTCTGGGCTGGGGATATTAAGACTGCTTTTCTCAACGGTGATAAGCTGCCCCCGGAAAAACAACTTTTTGGGGAACCCCCGAATGAAGTGAGGGAGGAGTTGGGAATGAAACCACATGAAGTTCTCAGAATTCAAAAGGTGATTTACGGGTTGTTACACGCACCAAGGGCTTGGATGGAAAAACTCAATTCCGTTTTGCAAAGCCATGGTTGGGTTACCTCACGTTTAGAACCTTGTATTTGGAGACTGTTTAATGATAAAGGGGAACTTCAGGGTCTTATTGGTTGTCATGTTGATGATTTGTTGGTGAGTGGTAAAGGGGATTTGTTTGAATCACGTATTAAAGAACTGCGTTCGGCGTTTCCTTTCGGATCCTGGCAGTCCGCTCAAGAAGAGCAGATTACTTTCTGTGGTTGCGAAATCACTCAGGACTCGCATTTTTCAATTTGCCTAGGACAGGAACGATATGCCCTCGGCATCAACGAGATTTGTGTGTCTCCGCAGAGAAAGAAAGATCCTCAAGCTAAGGCCAATATTGAGGAGAAGAAACAACTCAGAGCCACTCTAGGTGCCTTATCTTGGAGAGCCACACAGACATGTCCATGGCTGGCAGCAAGTGTTTCCGTGTTGCAGGGAAAACAAAATGACCCGTCCATTGAAGATCTGTTGGAAGCTAACAAACTCATCCGGATGCAGAGGCAATTTTGTGAAATGCCCCTGAGATTTAGCAGTCAAATTCAAGAACCTGTTTTGGTCAGTTATTCGGATGCTAGTTGGTCTTGTAGGGCTGATGGTTCTTCCCAGGGCGGTCAACTTACCGTTCTAGCAGATCGAAAGTTTCTGGATGGTCACCGTAGCGAGTTCTCTTTGGTCAGTTGGCAGAGTAGAAAGCTTGGTAGAGTAGCCCGTTCATCCACATCCGCTGAGGTACAGATGGCTTCTAATACCACTGATAACCATGAATTTTTGAAGCAGGTTATTCTTGAATGGTTTAACAAGGAAAAATTTGAACCTCATCAAGTGGATGCAGCTATGCGCCAAATTCCTTCGGTCCTGATCCTTGATTGCAAAAATCTGTACGATGCCATGTGTAGGATCCAGTCAAGTGGACTTCAACTTGAAGAACGCAGAACTGCCATTGATGTTTTGTCAATCCGTGAAAGAACACTTGAAACTGGAATCCAGGTTCGTTGGACGGACTCTGATCAACAGTTGGCTGATGGACTTAGTAAACCCCAAAAATTTGATCATCTTTTGGATTTGCTGAAACAAGGTTTGATAAGTATTGTTTTTGATCCTCTGTTTACCTCGGCTAAGAAAAAGCGGGCCGCTATGCGTCAAGAACAGAAACAGAGAGATAGTTTTGATTCCCTGGGAACTCAAGATGCTGATGCCATAAAGAAAAGAGAACGGATGCAAATTTGAAGTTCCATGCATCCCTGGTGGCATCAGCAGCAGCAATTTGCCTGACAACAGTGTCATGGCCCAAAGTCAGCTTGGAGCTTAGACCCTTTACTCGGCGTGCTATCCGGAAAAGCAGCCAGTGCTCTTTCGCAGTGCTCAGACATTTGCGATCCATTTAGCACTAGGTTCCTTTAGATCAACTCTTTCTGTTGACCAGTGTTGGACCTAAAATCCACACGGGGGGAGGCGCTGCGCCCTCCCCCCTGCACCCCCCCGCCCGCTTTTATTTTTAAACCGGTTCCCCTTGCTACCTACTATTCCTACTACTACTACTAGTACTACTACTACTACTACTACTACTACTACTACTACTACCTACTACTACCTACTACTACCTACTACTACCTACTACTACCTACTACTACCTACTACTACCTACTACTACCTACTACTACCTACTACTACCTACTACTACCTACTACTACCTACCTACTACTACCTACTACTACCTACTACTACCTACTACTACCTACTACTACCTACTACTACTACTACTACTACCTACTACTACCTACTACTACCTACTACTACCTACTACTACCTACTACTACCCTACTACTACTACTACTACTACTACCTACTACTACCTACTACTACTACTACTACTACCTACTACTACCTACTACTACCTACTACTACCTACTACTACCTACTACTACCTACTACTACCTACTACTACCTACTACTACCTACTACTACCTACTACTACCTACTACTACCTACTACTACTACTACTACTACTGCTACTACTACTACTACTACTACTACTACTACTACTACTACTACTACTACTACTACTACTACGACTACGATATTTTTTTTTTGATACGGATATTTTTTTTTGATCTAGGTTTGCAGCACGAAACCCGTGAGGTCTCACACAGTGGCACCTGGATATGTTTTTTTTGATGCATATATTATTTTTTTTTGATGCGTGCTGGATATTTTTTTTGATGCATTTATATTTTTTTTTGATACGTGTCTCCCCCTGCACCCCCCTCCTGCTTTCTATTTTCATGTTCTTCACTGCTCATCTCAACATCATCCCCTGCCAAATACCACACCACGACAAGCTTTAACACTTCTAACGCCTTGCACCCCCCTCCAGCTTTCTATTTTCATGTCCTTCACTGCTCATCTCAACATCATCCCCTGCCAAACACCACACCACGACAAGCTTTAACACTTCTAACGCCTTGCACCCCCCTCCAGCTTTCTATTTTCATGTCCTTCACTGCTCATCTCAACATCATCCCCTGCCAAACACCACACCACGACAAGCTTTAACACTTCTAACGCCTTGCTGGGGGAGGCGCTGCACCCTCCCCCCTGCACCCCCCTCCCGCTTTCTATTTTCATGCTCTACACTGCTCTTTTCAAACATTTTCGATTTTTCATGTCCTTCACTGCTCATCTCAACATCATCCCCTGCCGAATACCACGCTCAACATCATCACAACACACTTTAGCATTTCACCCTGCACCCCCCTCCCGCTTTCTATTTTCATGCTCTACATTGCCCATAGAAACATTTTGGATTTTTCATAGCGCCTGCACCCCGATAAGGAAAAACACGTATCAAAAAAAAACTTTCTGTATCAAAAAACAAATACAGCTTAATTTTTTTTGATCTCGTGTCTGTGAGGTCGTTGCATCTAAGCAGTTTAGGTTTCACCCACACAGGCCATGATTTGGTGATTTAATTTTTTTTGATATTTTTATTTATTTTTTATTTTTTTTATTTTTTTTTGATACCTTTTTAATTTTTTTTTGATACCCCACTCAGGCTATGTTGGCCCCATGTGAGCCTATCTTAGGCTCATGTTGGGCCTATGTTGGGCCTATCTTGACCCATTTTTGGCCTATATTGGCCCAGATCAAGAATTTTGTCCCCTTTTGAAAAACATGCAAAAACACAGGATTCTAGAGCCAAAATGCCCCCCCCCAAGCTGAAGCTTATTACCTATAATGCAATTGCTATCGGTTCACGCAGGCACACAAAAAACGCCTCGGCACCTTCGGTGCGGGCAGATTTATGGTTATTTGGCAAATGGAAGAAGTTGAATGGGGAACTGCTGGAGGTCAAACTGGGAGAGCTGCGACAAGCCATTGAGCAGCAGATGTCTGTTCCGAAGGCCGATCACTGGATCCTGGGCTGATTGGTATCATCAATACCATCTGGTTATTTCACATATGATGGCCCATTTATGGATAACAACCGTATTTTTTTCAATCATGATTTACCTACTAACACTGTCTAAGAATGGTGATTTTCCATGGCGATGTTAGTATCAGAGGGTATGATGTAGCCATCTATCTCCTGCTTTCTCAGGCGAAGCAGTCGATGATCTGTGCCGGCCGACGCTGGCAAGGCTCGGGCCCCTGGTACAGCTGCTTGGCAACTGGGCCAGGTGGTGCTCCCCCAGTCATGTGAACGTTGGTTTATAACCTCCATACTCCTCCATAAAAAGCAGGACCATTAATCCATAAACCCAAGTGAGTTCTTGGAGTTATCTTCACCAACCTAGCGATGAACGGCTCACTGGGGCACCAGCTTTTGGAGGTCTGGCCTTTGATGATGGGCTGCTCGTGACAGAGGCGGCAGGTGCTAAGGCACGATGGCACGACTCAGCTGGGAGAGACCTGGGATCCGGTCTCAGTTCGATGGTGAAAGACCGAAACAGGCCATCAGTTTTAACATGCCATGTGGGTGTTTCCTAAAATATGGCTATGGATCAATACCTATTAATACCATTTTTAGGGGAATGAACATCCATTTACCAGCTATTTTGATGTTCACCAGGGGTACCAGGGTTTTGACACACTGCCATATCCTAAAATGGGCGATCCCCAAGCTCGCTGGATCTAAAAATTTCCTGGAAAATCCCCTTCAAACCGCTGGATCCACTGGTGGATTGCTTGATCCCGTTATGCAGTGCTAACATCGATGTACTCCAGTTGGCTTCGGTATTTTCATGTATAGCTAACTATATATAGTTAATATATAATATATATATGTATATATACATATATATATAATTGTCCCATGAAGTCCCAGCAACAATCACCATGAAGTCGTGGCATGAATCACCATGTCCGATTCGCCATTGGTGGCATCTCTGGCAGGGCATGAAGGAGGTGGACGGGGTAAAGGCGCCGGCCGTAAAAAAGGGGCCCTGTTGGTGAACTGTTGGTGAATCATGGCGATATCGCCATTTTTTTCCAATGAACTACCCTCTGGTGAACTAAGATAGCAATGGAAAATGGCCATAGAAATAGTGGATTTTTCCATTAAACATGGTGATTTTCCAATGAACTCATGTTTTTTTTTGGAAATAAAACAGTATGACCTTTTGTTTCAGAATGTTTCAGAATGTTACCCACAAAGAATTGGAAGTTCAAGCTTGCGTCTTTTTTGGAGGTTGAAAAAAAGCCACGCCAGGACCTATTTTTCCAACTTCGTCCAACGCCTCAACAGGTCATCCATTTAATGCTCATGGCTCCTGCTGGAATCGACGGCACAGAAGAGGTCCGAGTTGACACACCGAGGGATTCCTTCAAGATGTGACCAACAAGGGGATTTCAACCGGCAAGCTCATTACTGTTGAAACATAATTACTCTGGGATAGGACTATTTTTTCTAAGCCATTGCATATGTGTATATATATATATATATCGGAATCGTAGTACTTTGGGATTTACTATGAATTTACTATACTGTACTATTGGGATATGACTATCCTATTTTGCTATTGGGGTTCATATTACTGTACTATTGGGATATTACTGTGTAATATTACTATATTATTATCATTATAATTCAGCCAGATATAATAGTGTTATAAATCATTGTAACAACTCATAGATGATAGGCAGTACCATACTATACTATGAGTGAATTATATTGGGACATTGGGACATTACTATACGATTGGGATATTGCTACAATTAGTGGGATTAGTACATGCAATTTCATAGATCCCAATTAGTAATACATTTTGACATTATGATACTCATTGGTATAATACATGATACCCTCTGGTAATTTAAGGTAGCTATTGAAAACCACCATTTTCAATGGGAAAATCCACGAACTTTCTATGGTCATTTTCAATAGCTTTTTGTATGTTTACCAGAGGGTATATCCCATTAATATCCCATTAAATCCCATTAAACCACCATTTTCCTATGGTTTTCCTATGGTTTTCCTATGGTTTTCCTATGATTTTCGTTGAATGCCGTTTCTCCTAAAGAACCATGGCCTTTTTGTCAGGTCTCACGCCTCGAAGCCCAAATTTTGGAGGCGAGAAAAAAACTCGGCGGAAGGAGCGCGTGGTGACGATTTATGGGTACCCAAGGATACCCAATACAGATTCAAACACCTTGAACATTAGGAAGTACCTGATTCGAACTTTTTGATAGTTTTTTCAAGAACAGATTGACTACTTCATGAATACAAAACTGACCATTCAGCCGGCTGTTTCTGGAGTTTAGACGACATTTTTTGACACATGTCCACATAGCAGCTCTAAGAGTAGCAGATAGAATCTACCCTGGAAAAGTTGCTGCATGTTGGCCATGTTTGAATACCGGAGGGTAAATCAACTCGGAGTCATAGCTCCAAATTGCCATCGTGAGGCGCGTGAAATCGTTGATACCTTGCCAAAAGCAACGGCAGAAGAGACCCAGAAGGCGACCCTTGAAGGATGGGCGGCTCGTTGTCCCATCTCCCCATTTTTCAGCGATCTGAAAATGGGGTCTGCTTGAACATAGTGGATATACCGGCAGCACTTGATGCAATTGTGATATATATTGTGATGTTCATCGGGAAAATGATGATAAACCATCAACAGTGTTTTTTCCCCCTAAATCTTCAGAGAACCCCCATTTTTTGGAGGTTCCATGGGTGTGTCCATAAAGTGTGTCCAAAAACTGGGGACACCCCAGAAGTTAAAAGAGATCCACCTTTGCTGGGGTAGACTGGGGGGTACTGAATCTCTGCATCTTCGTGAGACAACCAGACTGGGTATGACATGGACTCAGATACTGCAAATTTTTTATTGAAAAGTTGTGAAAGAAATGATTTTCTACTGATTCTGATAGGACACTTTTTGGGTAGGACTGCACAGGGTAGGCCCCAAATCTTATTTTCCGCCATGGGGAAAATCAGGTGGGTTTCCCCGAAGTAACTGGAGGCAGCTCTCTTGGCCCACGATCTGATCACAAAAGCCTCCACAGTTTGTCATCCTCAGCTTGGGACACGAGACTTTGGAGGTTCATTGGGCCCTTTGCTTTCTTCATTCCCTTGGAGTTTGGCCTTACTTTTACGGAGCAGATGATCCATTTCGCACAGCAAACCAAAGACATCTGAGAACTTTGAGACAAACAACCCACATCTTTTCACATCTTTTCAAATCATCGCGAGACTTGTCATATCTTTTCATAACTTCTTCTTGTCAGAATGATCTCCAGCAATCCCATGCCTGGCCATGTCACCAAGGGCTTGGATAACTTGGACTTGGTGGGTGCTCAGCGCGAGCCTGGGCCCCAGTGGCCCCAGGGACTCCAGTGGCTCAGCGCTCGCTGCTTTCACCGCAAGATGTTTAACCAATCTGCGAAAAAAAGGGTGCGTGATTGTAAGGGATCCACATGTTTTTCGGAATCATTTTATGGTAAGTTATCAACATGTAATTATGTATATACATAGTGTTGTTTAAATGGCACCGATATTTGTGAGATGGGCAGGCGCCGACGAGACCTGCTGGCGCAGATAGAGGCAGTGTTTTCTTTCTACGTGCATTTTGGGGTTGTCCGGAGGAAAAAAAACACTTTATGGTGACTTTCATTTGGATAATAGTGGATTTTGGGGTACCACTTGTGAGCCAAAGCTACAGTGGGATCCGCTCTCAAAAATGGTGTTTCCATGGAGTTCCATGTGTTTGCCCATTTTGGGCGGGAGCAATAGACTCAATAGACATTTCAGCTGTCAAGAACTGCTGGCAGGCGCTGGAAAGAAACTTGGAGGTGAAAAAGACCTCCAGTCTATAGCGCTGAAAAAGCACTGCCTTCTTTTGCAGCAACTTTGGATACCCTCTGGTGAACTAACATAGCAATGGAAAATCACAATTTTTAATGGGAAAATCCACTATAAATAGCCATGTTCAATTGCTATGTTAGTTCACCAGAGGGTAATGACATTCAGTGAGCTATTGTTTAATGTTTGTGTTGGTGGATCAGTTGCGGATTTGGGGCTTCACGTGGGATGTCCTTGTGAACGTTGAGCTCCGGAGACGGCCGTGCTGGCTTAACTTGGAAATGTTGTATGAAGCAGGTCCGGCCACATGCATTTGGGATGTTGGGTTCAGAGACATAAAGTTGGAAGGCCCACATTTTCGGACCCCCAATGATATCGTTTCAGTTTATTTCAGCTTTGTGTTTGACACATTTTAAAGCACTTTTTTGAAGTTCAACAACAATCAGCCATACTGAACCCATAAACTCTACAGAACTTCACATTCTCCCACCAACCACTTTTCTTTGACCACTTGCTGGGTTGCCTGTGGCTGCCTCCCCTGCCGTGCTGCCCACTGGGCTGCGCACTTTTGCACTCAGAGCCATGACGGATTCCCTCGGGCTGGCGCCCTACGACTACCAGGATGTGTGCCAAACTCAGGAGTTCTTCAGACATGGCGACCCTTAAATTTCGCCTATAAAAATGGATGATATGGATGCCGGAACCAGGAGTTTGGAGGGTTTCTACTAATTGGTCTTCAACCATCCAAGTTTTGGGCTGAAGAGTTTTTTTTTCCGGATGTTTAAGATGGTTACCCTCTGGTAATTTAACATACTTGTAGCTATTGAAAATGGCCATTTATAGTGGATTTTCCCATTAAAAATGGTGATTTTCCATAGCTACGTTAAATTACCAGAGGGTATATTGAGTCAAGAACCCATAAAGCCATAAATGGCTTTGGACGTTCTGTACGCAGCAGGTTCCCCAAGGTCAGAATGTCGCAAGAGAGTCTTCACTTGGCCCAGGAAAAGTACCGTCCCTGTCCTGGACTATTGGAGGCGAGGGCAAACACAAACTATGAAAAAAACAATGTAAGTAGTCTGAGACATCTATCAAGATATACCTGGGCTATGCGCTATACTATACCGACTATACCCTACTTATACAATCTTATATACTTATAAATATAATATATTTATAATATATATTATATGGAGTATAATACAGTTAATTAATTAGTCACTTACGATTCCTGGAATGCACATCGACGTATGTAGATTTGTATAAAAATCATGTGAATCAAGCGAGGGAAATCCATTTCTGCAGCGATTTTCTTCGCAATGACGGGTGCCAAGTGACCAGAAGATGTACATCATCCCACCAAAAAGAATCAAAAAGATACAGTAATTACAGTAGTTAACAGTTACATCCTACTAAAATAGTGATGAAAAATTCACCTTTTCTGCATCTTTTGGGATTTGTTTCAAGGAAATATGAAATATCTATAGAAATCTAGACATCGGACATCCTCTGGGGACCCCTCTGCATCTCTGGCGACAGGATGGCCGTTCCACTGCGGAAGGATTTGGGCTCCGAGTATTGGCCCACCGTGAACAGCATGGAGTGGCCCTGGGGCACCAAAGGACCGGATTCCGAAGCAGATCAGAATGTGCTAAAATGTGCTAAAGAAGTGAGGTCAGATGATGTCTAATCCATGTGTTTATCACAGTTATCAAAGTGTTTATCAAACTGTTTATCTAGCTTTCATCATGGTTTTTCTTGTGCTTTTCAAATTTGCTTCATTGTGGATCACATTCAGATTGGAGTCCCGTAGCCACGTGGTTCAAACGTTGGCCATGGCTGCTTTTGCCCTTGGGCCTCTGTGGCTGCCGTTCCCCGAGAGCCCAGAGACCCTTCTGAGGCGCACGAAATCGGATGTTATCAGTGGTTCATAGTGATATTTATTCTGATATAATATCTTAATAATATCATAGGTTCATGACATAAATAAGTATTTAAGACATCATCATAATCACTACTAGTCAGTAGTAACTATAATATGTAAATCAAATATAATAAAATCAATTCTTGTATTCTTGAATAGATATTAAGAATAATCACTACCAGGGGTCATTATCATCATAATACACATTTAGATACCAGTGGTTTAAATCATTATCATGATGGCTTAACCCACTGATATACCACCATTAAATGATAAAATAAAGCAGTGCTTTTTAATGTCCATGATATTTTTGCGCCATCATAATAGAATGAATCATCATCATACTACTAGTTATACTCAATATATCTATTTATATCGCATTATTTTCATCAAAAAATCATCAAAATAATCTCATCAATCGCATCATTTCGGATGTTCGCGAATTGTGTTGTCCCTTTGGTCATACTTGGGCCTGGGAAAAAATACGACCAATTTCTGCTGGCAATTTGACTTAAAGTGCCCGTCTCAAACTGAAAAAAAACAAACATATCAAACATCTGGTTTATTAATGTTTATGGCATCAGTTTTCCATATATTTCCATAGTTTTCCCCAATTTTTTATCGTTCATGGCAGATATCATATGATATCGTAAATTCATCATAGAGATATCATCATTTTTTCAATTTTTCCTCCTTTCTTTGTAATACAATACACATGTTTTCTATTGTTTTTTTATTTCATGGCCATCGAACTTGGACAGAAATCCATCATCCATTCCTTGACGTCGCGACCGTCGGAGGCCGCAGCCCGTTTCGAGCGGCCGCGGCGCCGGCCACGTCCTGGCGGCGGGCACCGCGTGCTGCGCGGCGGTGCGCAGGCGGCGGTGGATCCGCGTCGCTTGAAGCGCCGTGGGGATGACATGGGGAAGATGGATATGAATGGGATATCAATAAGGGAATATCAATAGGGAAATCAATCATCAATCATTCTTTTGGTGGTTTGAAATGATCATTTCTATGGTTTAATAAGGATAATGATGGGGTATCAATACGGGATTTTTTTATTGGATGTGAATAGAAGCAATCATCAAACATACTTATGGGAGTTTGAATAGATCATTTACCATATGAGCAAGCGAAAAAATCGCAGACGACCAAAGTAGGCCGTGGACTTACTTGGGATCTTGAAACTTGTGTGAAAACCTGCACCACCGACCACCCACTTACAGATACCATCAGATACCCTGTACAGTACTATGGTATTTGATCATATTGAATCCATTTGGGGAGAGGAACATCCATTGAATTACCAGCCATAAATGGATGTAACGGGATAGCAATAAAATTGACCAACAGATGAATAATTATCAGCTGCGAATATTGTGATTTTGTTGTGCATCCACTTCATAGCCTCATCATTCGGTTCATCATTCGGTTATAAGTTATCTTCCGATGGCACTTGTTGATGCCTGAGGCCCTCCCCGAGGATGTTTCCAAGAAGGTGTTGGAGGTGGTGAAAAATGCAGGGGAACATGGGCTTTGCTGAAAATCACAGGAGCAAAGTGAGGTAGCCAGGTAGCCTAAGCACGGAAGTATGATGAAATATGCATTCTGTTTGATGATAGAATCTGTTGTTTTTCTTTCAATATATGATGACGTCAGATGATGCCAAAGCATACAGGACCCGCAGATAAAGCTCCAGATCTATTGAAAACACAGATCTGCCATCAAGAAACATTGAGAGGTTCACAGGCCATCATTTGATGCCCATGAAATTCAGGTGTGTAAAGTGGGCGTTGGACCATCCATGACATTCCATAGCATTCCATAGCCATTGCCCCTCAACTCAGCCCAGCACAAAGCTTCGATGAAGCGCAAGGGCGCAAGTTGCGACACGAGCCCCGTGAAAATCTGGTACAGCGATCTTCGCGGCCAGGGCTGTGTTTTGTGAGAGATACGTGGCGCAACGGCAGGTGATGATCGTTGGAGATGGTGATTTTGCCTTCACGAAGGAAATTGTGGAGCACTTCCAGCACATTTCAAGCACTTCAACCACAGAGTTGCACACTTCGATCTTCTTGGAGCGTCGTGAGGCCATAGAGCGATACAAGGGAGGCTCCATTTTGGATCACTTGGAGACCTTGAGGGGACATGGAATCCAACACGCTTTTGCAGTGGATGCCACAAGATTGGCAGAAACTGCTGCATGGAAAGGCAAGGAGAGTTGTAATACCATCATTTGGACCTACCCTTTCCCTGAGAGTAATGCCGTTGGGATCGAAACCAAGCATTGCTTGGTCAAGTCCTTTTTCGCGTCAGTGAAGCATTGGCCTAGCTTCAAAGCTGATGGCACCATAGTGATTGGATTGAAGAGTTGCACTACCACTGCTCGCCACATCAACAAAGATGAAGACTACCAGTTGAAACAGTGGCAGGTGTTAGATGCAGCCAAGGAAGAGGGCTTTCATCAAGTCTCTGACTTTGGGCCAGTGTATCCGTTTTGGCGAGCCACTCATGTCTGTGGCCGGGCCTTATTCAAAGAGAAGGACCGTCAAAAGGTAACCATCAAGTTTTATGCTTTCAAAGCTGACATGGAGTAGCCTGCTATTGTTGTACAGTTTGATACAGTTTGCAGAATGGGCTAAAGCATCGTTGTACAGCAGCCTCTATGATCTTGTTGAAGGTCGGAGAGAGATGCAACATGATGCAGCACTGCCACGTGCTGTTGTATGATGCAACGTGTTCTGTGTGGTTGATGTTATTGGTATGATTTAGTATGTGTAGATTTAAGATATATAGAATATATATATATATATACAAAATATATAAGGTCATAGGATCTCTATATATAATATATATATAGATCCTATGACCTTATATATTTTGTGTTATTGATATTGATCCTTTTTTGAAGTCCTATGAGCCGCGGGTAACCAGATGATACCAGATGCAGGTTCGTGCTGGGCGAATTCGCCGGAAGCCTTCAGAGATACCTGAGGAAGAAGAGAAGCAGGACCTCTGCATCCAAGGAATGTTGATATTTTTGAAACATGAAATATCATGAAATCACAAAGATGTTTGATTGGAACCGCAATTGACAATTGATAATAATGGGTGAAACTTTCCTTTTTTCCCATGGAACAAATCCGTCATCCATGAAACACTTGCATCAAACTGGAGCTCGTAGATCTCGTGCCAGGAATGGTTTAAGGATTCAGATCTGGAGGGCTTGAGAACGATCTTCTTTGGCAACCCGCTGAACGTGTCATGTCGGTGGATAGAAATGGTGGATGTAACCCCAATGGCTATGTGAAAATGGGGAACAGGAGGTTATAACATGTTATAACCATTCACGATTTTTGAAACCACTAGATCTTGAGGTAATCATCCCAGACTTGGGACCAACCACATACGTAGTAATGACCTTGGCAGAAAGCGATGGGCAGAAGATGCATTTTTTGTGTAAACTTCACTGACTTTGAAGCCTTTTGAAGCCAACCATCCCTCGAGGGATCGCAGATTCTTATGATGGCCCTTGAGCGGGCGAGGTGATGTTGGTTTGCACTCCACTTGGCCTCGCCTCACAAAGTTTGGGCTGGGACCAAGTGACGACCTTCGTTTTATGTTTTCTGGCCATCGTACCTCTGGCGAAATTGCTCCTTGGCCGTATGGAAGTTCCACTTAAGCCCTGGGACCTCCCAACAATCCCATACCATTATGGGCACCGGCACTCTTTTATAGCACCGGTCAACAGGTTAGCGGCCTTTTCATCGCGCCTTGCGATTGTTGATCATGGTCGTAGGGAAAAATGTGGCAAAGTTGACTTGAATTTGTGCATATCATAGGCCCTCAAAGTTATTGAACAGAAGAGGTGTCATCGCGGACTGCGGAGGTGTAATGCGGGCAGCAGTGAGAAAACCATGGAGCACTTGAGAGACAAATTAATCTGACTGACCTATCATAGTATCAGTATCTATAAAGCTGTATACAGTAGGAATATATCATGTCATATACATGATGTATTCCGTTTCCAACAGCGAAGCGTCTAAACATGTGTAAACGTTCACTCGAGGAACTATCCCGACAGTTTGGCAGACCCGATGACCCGATAAACCATGTTATTTGCAAGTTCGCCAACCTTCGATGGGAAAGAACCGGTTTGGACCATGAGAATCATTGTTGATGGTCTCCTCGTGCAGGCTGGGAGATGCTACGGAGCAGCTTTCTTGCTCAGTGGGACAAACCTTGGGAGGAGAATCTATGGAGACGGGTGGAGCTAATGTTGGGGCTCATATGTTTTTTGGGGCGGGGGCCCCGGGGGGTCCTAAACGGGGGACCCCAATATCAGCCCCAAATTTAGTCACTGTATTGGGGACCCCAATGGTTTTGAGGTACACCTATTTCAGGAAACCCACTGGCAGAGGTGTTCAGTGCCATGTTTCAGCGGAAAACACCAAAAAAGGCAGTAGGATGCATAGCCGAGCCTTTCCCTCTGCTTTGTTGCGTGTCCTGTGGCAGGACTACTGAATGCCACCTTTGGCAATGCAGTTGAAATGATCATCTCAGTTTTTGCCCTCCGAGAGGGGCTGACTGAGGCGCGGCAGATCTTGGCATTGAGGGGTCCATGCCAGATTGGTTCGGTGGATACTTGGTGGGTCCAGGTAGCCCAATGACTTCCCATCTTGACCATTGGCCAAACAAGACCCGTCAGTCTCGGTGGTTTCGTAGCTTCAGGTGGTGAAGGGCAGCTTGGTGGGTAGCATCGTTTCAAATCTGTTGCTGGTTCTTGGATACTTGGCTGCATCGCGGGCTTCGAGGCTGTCATTGAAAAAGGACCAAATCCACCCTGCAGGTGTTAAAATGGAGCACCTGTGAGCAAACAACATACTGCCAGACTGATCTGTCATGGTGACAACATATCCCCTACCTTTTCAAGAAATTGGAGGGATTCGGCTCAGCCCATATCATCTCCCAGGAATGTGCTTCTTCTGTGGTGGTCTCAATTATCAAACCCAGCGCTTCAATGCCAATGGAGCTCGCACGCAGTACTCCCTGCTGCTGTTGGCCATACTGGCCTTGGTGATTCCCACCGTGGTGCTGCTCACAGGCGTCCGGCCGGAGAGTGAACTGCTGATTTCAAGGGGCTGCGCTGTGGTCCTGGCAGTTCTCTACGTGTGCTACTTGGTCTTCCAGTTGGTCACTCATAAGGTGCGAATGATGCAGCATTTCTGGGATCTTGGTGGGAGAGGTTTGTGGATTTTCAACCACTTGCAGTTTAAGATATTACTGACAAGATGGCATGTGATATTTTTTAGGATAAAGTCAATGGTGGTTTATTTGGTGTATGTTCAGCCATTTTGGTAGGGGAATATGTGCTTTCCCATAGCAAGTGCCGCAGGAAGAGTTTGCAGCAGCTGAAACCGACGCTGGTGAAGAGGAGGCACTGGCTACTTGGTTTTTGGTAGGTTGCGGAAACCTCACAAGGTGATGTTCATTTGATGCAAAAAGAACCAAGAAAAGACAATATGGAACCTTTCAAATCATCCAAAGCAAGTGAAAAGTTGTGTTGTTTTACGAATTTTACCCAACAAATCCATGGCTTCGTCATGCTTTTTCGCTTTTCTCGCAGTCCTACAGGGTTTTTGACCATTTGAGGGACGCCGTCAGCTGTTTATCGCACAGGAGGAGGCGACCTTATCTCCCGGTACTGCACTGGTACTGCTGGTGGCTGCGACTCTGTTAGTGGCACCTCTTAGCGAAGCTCTCACAGGCTCGGGAGTCAGGGATTGACACCCAAAGGGCCATTTTTCATAGGAAACATGCTGATGAACTGGATGTCAAATATGTCCAAAATGTGTTCCGAACTCAATTTTCTCATACAATCCCACATCAAACTGAGATCAAAGACATTGAACAGTGCGTAACTCCTTGGAACATCTTGAAACCTTTGGATAGTTTGGAACCAGGAGACACATAGTGTTCAGGCTCCGTGGAGGGTGTCACCAAGACACTCAACATCTCCAACGCCTTCGTTGGGGTCGTGTTGCTTCCCATCGCCACTTAACCATGACCAGTGGCTGCGTACACCCCTGGCAGGGTTGATCATAAGATCGGGAAATTGACATGGGGACATGAATATCATGAGATGATAAATTTTGATGGTTGATTGATGGTGAGTTCGGAGTTCAGGGGTTATATATTGGGGATTATCAGAACCCATGAAGTAGGAATGCCTATCAACCAACCTGCACACAGGGATGACATTTCAGGTTTTGAACATGGCTCGTTTGGAAACCATGCGGGAGTCCTGTGAGGAGTGCCCTGACCACTACTGAGAGTTTGTACTAAAAAAAGCATGTTCGGAGGTTCGAAATTGATCGAAAGAGGTCTTGGTTTCCCTGGCCTCCTCTCATTTGAGCACCGATCAGCCACAAATTGTCACACCCCAAGTTCCCAAGTTTTCCTGAGATCGCACTGCGGGGCTCCAAGGTGGGCAATGCGGCGGAGCATCTCACAGCTGTGACGGTGGCCACCAAAGATAAGATGGATCTCTCCCTGGGAGTGGCCCTTGGAAGCAGCACGCAGATCGCTCTCTTCGTGGTGCCCTTCACCGTCATCGTTGGTTGGTTTCTTGGGGTCCCCATGGATCTGAACTTCAGATCCTTGGACGTCTCCATCCTGCTGCTGACGGTCCTGTCACTTGGCTGAGCTCTGGCGTCCGGGTGTTTTTTTTTTGAATGCAGTTCGCTAAATGGCTTGCATCCTTATTAATGATTGAAGCAAACATCAATAATCATAAATATGTATCTAATTTCATGATATTTCATGATACAGTATTTCATGATATTTCAATATATTTCATGATATTTCATGATATTATATGATATTTCATGATGTTTCATGATGTTTCATGATATTATATGATATTTCATGATATTTCATGATATTTCACGATATTATATGATGTTTCACGATGTTTCATGATATTATATGATGTTTCATGATATTTCATGATATTTCATAATGTTTCATGATACCGGTATTTGATGATTGTTCATAATGTTGCATGATATTTCATGATATTTCATGATATTTCATGATGTTCCATGTGCCTTCTCAAGTTGGAATCAATTTGCATCCACTCATCCCCCTTCAGAGCATCAGTTGCCACAGGATAGTTGGCAGCACCATCGTTGATGGCGAATCAAACTGGTTGGAGGGTGCTGCACTGATCAGCGCGTATCTTCTGATTGCAGTGTCCTTGTGGTATGTATAGGGTATCTGGTGACACTGCCAGCTGCCATGGATTGATTTCTGGTGAGAAAATTGAGACAGAGCGGAAAAACGGAATGACGGATGAGCTTGGACCCAACCTGGAAGTGATTATGAGGGCATTGTATGGTCTAATAGTCAGTACTAGTTCATGAGAATTCTGAAGTTGTGGGTCATACTCTGTGAACTGTAAAATCGCACAAGTCTTGCACCCCTCTTCAGCTCACCAATTTTCACCATGTCTTGGTTCCGCAGGAACCTACATCTCCAAAGAAGCTGCTTTGCGGAATGGGAACCTGTTTGGGACCTCAGCATGGTGCAAAAAAACTTGCCACGCTGAATGGTGGGCGAATGTGTTCATTTTGAACCAATTTGAACCATATATTTCAGAAAGACGACCTGAAGAATCGCAGGTTGGGCTTCAACCTCTTTGGTACGGAGCGCACCATTCGGAAGTATGCCAAGGTGGCCGTGCCGGTGCGGTGTTTTGGAGATCCCCTGGGCTTCCAACAAGACGAAAGTGGTACCCCAGTGCTGCAAGTCCCCATTTTCCCCATTTTGAGTGGCTGACAAGCCATACAAATGGGTTATATTGGGTTATAAGATGATATAAGATGATATAAGATGATATAAGATGTTATATGGCCACTAAGCAGTTACGATCAGTGGGATGATCCTCCAAGTATATCATTTTTTGCAATCCAAACATATCCAAAACATATTATATCCAAAATACTATCCAAAATACGAAGCATTCTTAACATGTCTTAACCATCATTTACCATGAACCATTCTTATCCCAAGGGTAAGGGTCCGAAGATCCACTGCCGTTTTCATAGGCCCGAAACGCCCACGTCATTGGTGATGGCATTGTGGCCTTTCCTCCATGCTCACCGTGACTTGGTGATGGTGATGGTGAAGTGGCCATTCGGTGGCCATCCGGAGTTGGTAGATTCATGGGTTTTAATGGCATTTTAATATATTTTAATGGCATTTTCATGAGTTAATAATGAGTTAATAGCGTTGAATAGCGTTGAAGTATTTGAGAAATTTCAAGTGGCCTCAAGATCATGGCGTCACTAACGATGGTAATCCACAGCCATGAAATTTTCACGGGGAAGACGACGACGGCTATGAGATTGAGCACAGTGGAAATCTGGCAGCTGTTTTCTCGGCTCTAAACTATTGCGACCAGATGAGAAACGAAGGTGCACTCATCAGACTTGATGGCAAGCAATAAAGCTAGCAGATCTTAGGTCGCCTAAAGTATTGGAGATAAGTGAGCCTGTCACTTCTAGCGTCAACTCAGTGTTAAAACCTAGAATCACTCATCATGACCGCGGTCGCGCGTGACTGCGGTCCACATGCATGTTGGGCACATGGCAAATTGGAAGCGTGGATGCTTCTTGGCTAATGATTCATTCATTTCTGCAGCCATTGTTTGAGGCATGTCCTGAACAACTCAGCCAAGAACTGTTTGGTCTGCTATTTGGAATGTTTCTTTGAGGCAGTTTGGTCCTGCAGTCCAAAATTGGTTTCTTCGGCAGCTGGTACGGCAACTTGCCGGGCAGCTGGACATTGCAGGGAGCAGCTGGCCACCTGCGTTCTTTGAGGCCGTGCCGTCAGACTCCCAGATTTGGAGTCGCGTCTCACGTGTGTCTCAAGTGTCAAGATCTCAAGGTCTTCAAAGCTTGGAATGCTGTACGAACAAGTGTGGAACCCAGGAACTAGACGTTGAACCTCATGCAGCAACCCCAAGCATCCTATCAGCTCACCTCAATCATTGATACCGCGCTGGACTTGATCTTGATACCACAGTCTAGTCATTTTACTTTCCTGGAGTTTCAGGATTGTTGGAGTGTTTCACATGCTTACATTCACCACATCTAATGACACACTTGCTGTTGGCCCCCACATTTCCATTCCAGAACACAGCGGGCTGTGAACAGAGCGGAAACCATGTCACGGAGGTGAAACTAGTCTCAACTTGATCTGCTTCACCTCTGTGACATGGTTTCTGAGGACCTCGCGCCAGCGGCATCTCGCATATCAGAGCACAAGACGCCTGGCGGAAAGAAACATGCAAGGCTTTGACTGGGCATTGCCACCATGCTATCATGCCATCTCCTGTTTTTGTGCAGCACCTTGCAGTCGGAATCGCCCATACAGCATAAACCCAATAGTGTGCTTTCAGATATTGTTCCATGCTCGACCAATTTATGCCTCCTTCAGGCAACGAGTGTGGAGGCCAAAGCCCACAGAGGCTGAAGAGGTTGATGGTCGCAATGCCGAGGCCGCCTTGGATCTGCTGACGTTGAAATGTTTGGTCCTGACTTTCACCATGGAGATTCAAAGAATGACACCGTAGTCCCATGGATCCGGAGTAATTTATGTCGAGAAGTGTCGGGCTTGCGAGTGGGCTGCCCTGCGTATATTGCACTGAGAACCAGCTGACAACCAACTGCCATGGCGCTATCAGTAGCTTTTTCTCATTTCATCTCATTTCCCGAATGACAAACGAAACTCGAAGTTCAAATGTTGTTCGAGCGAGGACAAGTTGGAAAAGGTACCTCAGTTTCAACGCCGATCAAGGCCTGCAGATCACAAAATCTCAGTTTCCACATTGCCATTGCGATGAGTTTCTCAGTTTCCATTCTGTGCGAAACTGATACGTTGTTTCCATTCTGTATTCAGTTGTATTCAATGTGCTACGTTATTCCTCCTTGTGTTTGTTCCTTGTGGGTTGAACGATGGTCCCTAGATTCTGCTGCGGAGTCGATGTTCAGGCCTTCCCTAAGTTCAACAGCGGTGCCAGACGAGACCGACGATGAGACTGATGAGACTGACACTTTGTCGGCTCAGGTTCATCATGCTACACTTTTGTGTCATGTGCCATGTAGCCGATGTGGCGGTGCCATCTCCGCGCCAAAGAAGCAGAAGTGTTTTGGTGTTTTGCATCCTGTGCCTGCCCTTCAGGATGGCGTGCAACAGCAGTGCGTGTTTCTGCTGGAAGAGCTACTTAGCTTTTAAACCAAACGCTTCAAAGAGTGTTCGATCGATATTCTCTTCTAGGTTTATTCAAAATAACTGACTCCCGGCATGGATGCTGAACAACAGCTCAAACAGGCTTTGATTTCATGCTTGGGCACAGCATCCTTCAAATTCAGCATGACAACCAGAGATGGTTTTATCATATCCTTTTCCTTGGTCGCTCAAGAGACTACCTAGCTCAGGTTGTGGCTTTGTTTACATCCTGTCTATTTTCACGAGTACTTCAAGATATCCTGCCTTTTTGACCACCACTTCAAGACATACTTTCCTTTTAACTGCTACTTCAACTGTCCTTATCACTACTACTTCGAGACATACTGTCCTTTTCACTGCTACTTGAAGACATACCGTTCTTTTCACCGTACCTACTACATTGCATTACTCAACTTGACTACATTACATCACTTGACTGCGTTACATTGCGTCGCTACATCGCAGTACTTGACTACATTGCATTACTGGGCAACATTACATTGCTTTACATTACTTGGCCATATTACTTGACTACACGGTATTGTTTGACTACACGGTATTGTTTGACTACACTACATTACTTGACTGCATTACATTACTTCACTACGTTACATTACTCGACTCCACTACATTGCTTCACTGCATTACAATACTTGACTACATTGCATCACATTATTTAAGACATTTTGAATCTCTGTAACTCGGATGTTTCTCTCCCTAAACTTTCTTTGATATCACGATCGGCTTTGAAGCATCCCTGAAATAGGTTGAGCGATCTTTGAAGCCTTTTTGACACAGGTTTGAAATCCCCGTTGAAACTTCTGCCAACTGTCGTTGTTCGAGATATCTTTGAGGAATGTCTTTGAGAAATTTGCAATGTTTTCGACTTGTTTTGTACCTTGTAAATGCCTTTAGCTGATCTGAAACGTTTTGGGAACTTTGAAATATCCTCAAACTGTACTTGAATTATCTTTGGAACATGTTTGAATATATGTTCATACTGTACTGTCTTAGAAGTATCTTTACAAAGTTTTTCACATGTCCTGGAAATGTCTTGCGCTATCTTGCACTAGTTTCTGAGTTGTTTTTGAAATTTTGAAGCGTCCTTGACATGTCTTTGACGGGTTTCGATCGTCTCGATGCTTGACCTTCAGGTTGGAGAGAATGACGTCGGCAATGGAAGAAGAGAAGAGGCGATGCCGCGATGCCCGCATTGGTCACATGTCAAAACATGCGAAGTTGATGGAGTTGCGAAGTTGATGGAGTTGATGCTGCCCTGACTACCATAGAAATAGCGTCGTGACAGCAGCGTGCTTTATATTTTCACTCAAGATCTGACGCGATCGCCAGGATTTCTGCTGAAGCATCCATTGAGCTTGAAGACGCAATGGAAGAGATTGCCATGCTTAAGGTGGGGATCTGAAGATGGAAACACCCATTTGATGTTTCACATTGAAGGTCGTTTTTGCGGCGCCATCTTTCAGCCTCGAGCTGCTGTGAAGGGTACTTTTTGTTTCAACTGTGAGTTTGGAAACGAACCATGGAGCCTCTCGAAAAAAGGTGGATCCCACTTTTTATCGTTTGTTGTTACAACGCTCTGAAAGCCAGTGGTCGAAGCAAAGCTAACTGATAGAAGGCTTAAAAAGGATGCGCAGAAAGTAGCTGGTGGCAGAACGACCATGCCATGACAGAAACATGGCGCAGCCTTTTGGTGATGCAGGAACGGTTGGATGCTAAGCAACAGAAAGTTTTTGTGCTGGAAGAGCTACTTGAGCTACTTGGCAGTTGAATCAAAACGTTTCGAAGTTTTCGAAAGATTCTCGATTTGTTCTCAATGGTCAGTCATTGGCAGGAGTTTTTAGCATGGATACCTTTGGAACAGCAGGTTGCACAGGTGATATTCAACTGCAAACGTACAAACTGCCGTAATCTCACTTTATCTCACTTTAATTTCACACCTGGGCAATTCATCTTCAGAATTCAAGTTTTATCATGGCTAATCATGGCCAGATAATAGTTAAGTTTATTTTTTCTAGGTGCTCAACAGACCTCATAGCTCAGGTTGTGGCCTTGCCTGCTTGAAGTGTTTTTAAACGTCTTCGATATCACGATCGGTTTTTGAAGCCTAAAAACGTTGAACGATCTTTGAAGCCTTTGTGACACAGGTTTGAAATCCCGTTGAAACTTCTGCCAACTGTCGTTATTCGAGATATCTTTGAGGAATGTCTTTGAGAAATTTGCAATGTTTTCGACTTGTTTTGTACCTTGTAAATGCCTTTAGCTGATCTGAAACGTTTTGGGAACTTTGAAATATCCTCAAACTGTACTTGAATTATCTTTGGAACATGTTTGAATATATGTTCATACTGTCTTAGAAGTATCTTTACAAAGTTTTTCACATGTCCTGGACATGTCTTGCGCTATCTTGCACTAGTTTCTGAGTTGTTTTTGAAAATTTGAAGCGTCCTTGACATGTCTTTGACGGGTTTTCGATCGTCTCGATGCTTGACCTTCAGGTTGGAGAGAATGGGCACTCACTTGAACTGGAGCTCATTGTTTCCCGAGTTTCTTGGCACTTGCAGAGGCGCCGTGATGTGACGTTACCAAAGCTGTGATCTCTGAGGTTCCGGGCCCAAATGTTATCCTATTTGGACGTGCGGGGGCTGTGCGCTGAGCGAGCCACGGCCCGCGACAACTGCTCAACAAAGGCACAAGCTCCCATGAATTCCGCTTCAGCCAGAATATAGCAGAATCAACCACCACGATTCTTTTTCGCCCTTTTTTTTGATAGATTGAGCCCAGGCATTTGTTGCACGGCTGGCTGAGATTGGATAAGCATTCAACTCTTGGTATGCGATTCGGGTGGACCCAGGTCTTGGTCACTCAGCTTGTGCAGCTTCTTCGACCTCGCGAGCTGCTTGATCTTGCAGAGTTTTGACCACATTCTGTTTGCAAGTTGACCTGGAAGTTTACCGTAGGTACACTGTAGTTGTTGTGCGTTTTTGTCGTGGATGTGCTGTAGGCCTACCGTGTTTGCGGCCATAGCAGATATCTACACCAACAGCGAGAATCGACAAAGCTTGGCGGAGGGCAAACCGGTATTCATGAAATCGAGTCCGTCCCACATCTCCGCAGGATACAAAGGCGGAACAGAAAATGCAAGCAATTACAATCCCTGGTATATCTGGTATCTACTCACGGCACTGTAGCCATGCCCATCGACAAATGAAATCGACAGAAACGCTCAAAGAACTGCTTGCGTGTTTGAAGCTATTGCTTTGCGTGTGTCATCACATATGTTTTTGAATTACATAAGGCTACACATTCGAAAAATGTGTCCACATTCGGCCCTGAGGCTTCAGATGCCTTTTCATGCATCGTCGTGCTTTGAACACATGGTGCAAATGCAATCCAGACGCGATCAAGTACGCAATGGAGTGTTTAGTCCAGCATCGCCATGTCCACAAGATCTGGTTTTTGATGTGCTGTGTGGGGATATGGGTCTTCCGTCGAATGCCTGAAGTGGACGGCAAGCGTGTTCTAGCTGAAACCATCATCAGAGATTTATATGGCTGCAGCAAGACTGGGCGATCACATGCATGCCACAGCTTGAAAAAGTTGGCGCAGAACTGCCAAGATTCAGGGCTAGCAGATCAATGCATCGAAGTGCTCAGAGCACTGAAGCGCCGGCACCCGCAGGAAGGGATTGTTGAAGCTGCGCTTGTAGCTTGGACATTGCGATCCCTGTCACTGTAGGTCCATGTAGGTCCAAAGAAGAGGCGACCGGAAAGTAAAGCAGCAAGTCATCCACAAGGTCGAAAAGCTGGTGAAGTTGAGAACCGTGGTCAGGTTCCCGTGGAGAAGGGCCCCCCCGTGGTTAGAGGCGGCTGCCACCTCCGTCACGCGCCGTGACCACCTTGGAGAATGCTGGCGTGAGAGAAGAGAAATAGTCCGCCTGCCGCCGTGCAAGATTTTTGGGTTTAGTCGTTGTCGGATGGTGTTAGTGGTGGCAGGTGCACCTGTTGGTGTTCTTGGAGGATGATGTGAAAGGTTCATGAAGGAGAATGAGATACTGACATGAAAGCGGCCTGCGCTACACCATGTTAATAATGGGTTAATAATGACCATTATTAATAGTCATAATCGGTTAATAATGGGTTAATAATGGTTGATAATGGGTTAATAATGGTTGATAATGGTTAATCATGGGTAATCATGATATACCCTCTGGTATTTTTGCGGTTTGCTATTTGACATGGCCATAGAAAGTTCATTGAAATACCTATCAAAAATGGTGATTTTCCATAGCTATGTTAATTTACCAGAGTGTAATATATATATATATGGGTGATATGGATATGCCTATAAATTGAGGATTCCTTTCAATCCCCAGTTGTCACCAAAGGTCCTTTCAATACTGCGTCATCAGTCGTCCTTGACAAGTGGATGATTTTGGGGGCACCCCCATTTTAGGACATCCCCATAGATTCATCATGTTTTCTTTTGGCATGATATCAATGACAACTGAAAGATCAGCCCAGGCAACCATATTGCATCATCTTGGAGGCATGGTTTCGCTGGCCTAAAATGGATGATCCGCCAGGGTTTTGTCCTCATTTGTAGCCATTTAGATGAGGACAATTATGATGCACCATCAACATATATCAAAATTTGGCTTCCCCTCTTTCACACAAACTTCACTAACCGCGTTTTTCATCATTTTTCTCCACGCAGATGGTCGCCTTTTCTTTGGCGCAAGTTCGGTTAGGTTCGTTCGTTCGGTTCTTGAATCCGGCGAGGTCTTGGGAAACAAGATTGCTGGAACTGGCAAGATGTGTGATGGGTCCTCAGCCCCTTAGCGCTGCGAGGTGGTCAACCAAGAGATATGTTAGACTGCCAAATCGGTTGTGTTTCGCCAGGAGTCGAGCCTTTTTTTTTGGTTTCAACTATGTGTATATATATATATTATACACATTTCATGTCAATGATTGTCATTCCGAAAATGGTAGGATGATTCCGCATGTGTTCATGTCCTTTTCAGATGGGTGCCGTCACTCAACCATTAAGTAGGTATTTTTTTGTTTGTAAGTGCAATCTTTTGCATCCTCCTTTCATTTTACTGTAGTTGCATCAAGTATCATCAAATTCTATTCCCACATATTCCATCATACCCTAACTATTATATTATATCTACGATTATATCCTGTATCTATCATAAGAATATCATTCCCTCCTCAACCATCTAGTTTCTCATTTTGTTTTTGACCGCAGCCCTCTTAAAATTCCATTTTGATGGATTGAAACCAGCAGCCAGTGTTGTTAGATCCTTGTGGCTACGGTCCTACACCCTTTCACTTGGATGATTTCACTGGCCGCTAGAGTGTCTCTTAGACAAAGTCCGGGACCCATCGAAGCATGAAGGTTCAGCTTATTTTGGGAATTTGAAGTCGGAATCATTGCTTTTTCCTAGGAATTCTTGGTTGAAGCCAGCAACCCAATGTCGTTTCCCAGAGGACAACCTCAACATCAGGTTCCAGCTGAGCTGGCCATTTTGCCCGCGACGGAGGTCTCCAGCGGCGGTTGCCATTGAAGCTTTGAAAAAGGGAACTCACCCGTAAATAAATGATCCAGAATTGGAGAAATTGGGAGTGTTCACCACAGGGTTTAGACCATGGGAAAGTTGGGGCTTGAAAAACCTTTCAACCACATGTTTGGGATTTCCAATCTAAAGATGATATGTTCTTATTCTTTTCTCTTTCAACGAACTCTTCGTGGATGCTATTATACAACACATGTAACCAAGCTATGGCTATGGATGAGTTCAACCTTAGAGCAATCTTTTTTGGATCCATCCCAATGACAAAGTGCAGCCTCCAGGTGGCTTCGTCTAAGCCATGTCAACGACAGAAGCGACGTTTGGGCAGAGGTGCGATTGGTTGAAGTTGCACGAAACATGAACCATGGAGCATTTGACAAAGATATCAGCCAAAATGGGAAGAACATAGAAAAACAGTGTTTTTGAGCCATTTCAGCTATGGGTCCCACAACAGGTCCCTCAGTTTTTTTGGTTGAGAAAGGTGGCCAAGATCATTTTCTTAGGTGAAGCATTGGTTTCCTAATGTCATTGCATATCTATGGTGTCAGTTTACTGGGTCGTGAATGCCCATTGCAGGTGTCGAAGACTTCCTATGATTGCCTGTTCCCAAAGTTGGAGCTGCTCCAGGCTGGGAATTGTCTGACTTGGTGCATGAATCTGAGCCACAGCAGTGATAAACTCAGTGATACGTCATGATACGTCAAAAATCCTTCAGCGTTTATAGATGTTTATAGATTTTGATAGAGTCTCTGAGGGTGAATTGGGGCCAATGGGCCAATGCTCAAGAGAGCTATAGAGTCTCTGAGGCTTTTCATTGGCTGTCAATGGATGCCAAAGTGGCATAGGAGGGCAACGCTAACGACTCGCCGCACGCGGCCTTTAGCGGTTTCGAGACTCGCAGCGGTTTCGCTTGGCAGGCAGCAGGTGCTTTGACAACTGGAAATTTGATTCGGCCGTTGGCAAATTCATAGAAATTCGGCTGATCATATAAATTTTTATGTAGCACTTTCACTTTTATGATCAGCCTGGCAACCAGCCTCAAAAACCAACATGGAATCGCAACATGGGCCACACGATGATTTCATTTGATGCTCGGAACTTCCTTATTCTTGTAAACACATGCTTGTCACATGTAATTACTTGGAGGTTTCCTGAAATGGGGTTACCTCCAAATCAATCCAAATTTTAAATCATTTTAAATCATTTTAGATTGGGATTTTCCATGAAATAAACAATCCAGCTATGACAGTAGGGATCCCCATTTATGGAAACCTCCATTTGAATTTCAGAGGTGTAAAGTCCCTGGTCAGCCTGAGGTTCTGTGGCAAAGCCTCCACACACGAAGGCGAAAACTGCTGCGACTGTAGCCGCTTGATCCGTGAGGAACAGAAATGTCGAGGTAGAGTCTTGCTATGTCTTGCTGGAGGTTTGCAGGAAAGTGCACTCTACAAATTCAATGGTGAAGCTGATTTTCCCATGGGATTTTTTTGGAGCTGTTTTTTACTCAAGGCGACCAAAGTGATGGGCAGACCATCCAAAGTGATGGTGAATGCTCGGAACGGACTGCGAACGCCTGGGACACTACGAGTAAACCAACAGTTGTCGAAAGTGAAACTCAATGATATGCGGGTCCTCCACTCATACCGATGCAGAATCGATCCACTAGAACAGAAATCAGGGACCGTGCTAAGTCTAATTGGGTTTGAAACATGTCGCTGAAGATGAAGGTCGGCTGAATCACGCATGATTTTGCCATATTTTGCCAGTTGAATATGTCATCGGCCAAGTGAGCAATTGAATGGTTGCAACAATGTGTTCTCCTCCTGGCAGTCACAATGGGCATCTCAGGGAGATTTAACCATCACCATGGGGGGATTAGAGGGAGATTAGTGGGGCCCCGCCTGCTGTCATGGAGAAGAAGTCTCGCTGGGGCAGGACCGGCGAACCAACGTTGTTATCCGATATCCCATCCCCCGAATACCAAAAACAGCCCGACATTGGAAAGCATGGTGTTTTGTGAAGGGAACTTCCACATCATTGGGACTATTAGCATGGGCGTGTTTAATATTAGGATGGCATTAGTTGAATGATGTTGATTTGAAAAATAGGTAGTGTTAGTATCACACATTACAACTGTCAGAAAGCACCCGATATGGAATTTGCACAAATGCGCGACTGATAGGAAAGAGAAGAAACCCGAGGTTGCTTGAACCTCAGTTGATGGGGTGCAACCGATGGACCTACCAAATTTGCTTTTCATGTTAAGGGACCTGGGGAACTCATGACACAATATGGAGGCACTGCGGCGCCATGCCCTTCCTGGATCGTTGCAAATCATGGATGACAGCCATAACTGGTTGGTGGTTTGGAACATGGCTTTTATGACTTTCCATTCAGTTGGGAATGAAAAATCATCCCAACTGATGTTCATGATTTTTCAGATGGGTAGGTATACCACCAACCAGATAAAATTTCATCCAATTTCACCCCCACAGATCTTCATGTCAAACGAAATGACTCATGAAAGAACCATACTGGAAATCAGAGAACATACCCTCTGGCAAACTAACACAACTATGGCAACTATGGAAAACCCAGCCATTGTTTTTGATGGGTAAATCAGCGAACTTTCTATGGCCATTTTCAATAGCAAACAGTTAGTTTACCAGAGGGTACCCCCCCATTTTTGCATCTTCCAAACCTCCAAACTGAGGCCCCAGTGTTGGAGGTGCGAGAGCGTGACTTGAAACTCCCAAACGCTGTGGCGATCTTGTTGGGGCGCTCAGAATTTGTTGGATTAAAAGCAATGGTTTAATCAGGTTCAATCAGGTTCAATCCACCAATAGGAGACATATTAATAGAACTATGAGAAGAGAATCTATATTTGTTTGAGATATTTTATCTAGAATTCGGCAGGATTTGCGGCATTTTTTTCAGGCTGGAAAACTATTTCACCGTGGAAGAATGCGACAGATATCTCAAGGTGCCCAGTTAGAGCCGCTAGGGCGATCCAGTCTGCCAGAAAATGACTTTGATATCTTTGATCTACACAAGCTTATATTCAGAATTATATTCAGAATTATTCAGATATCAAACATAGTATCCCTGTTGTTTTTTTGGGGGGGATGGCTTCATTTAGTTCATTTCCCCCAAAACATCTCGAGCACCACCCTGCAGATTCTGACCACGGAGATTGACTGGAAAAACCAGCTGGTCACCGTGAAAAGTGTCAAGCTCAGTCACGCTTAGCACCTGGTTTTATAATCGTTCTATGTGCATTTACAGATGTTCATGTTTTTTTTTTTTTAAAGACTATTCGTCACGCTTAGCACCTGGTTTTATGTGCATTTATAATCATTTATAGATGTTCATTTTTTTTTTTATAACTATCATTTATAGAACATCTATAAATGATTATAAATGACTATAGATAGTTCATCTATAATCATTTATTTACTATCAGACTATCAGTTCAGTCGACACCAGATCCAAAGAGCTTCGTGGGGTTCACCAGGTTTACAACAAAAGGCACGTTGTGAATCGCTTCAGCATCACCTCCATATGACGACCAAGTCCCTAGCCAAAGCATGTGGCTTTGAGGTACCCTATTCTTGAGACGTTGTGGAATATATATATATGAATATATGGTATTTTTTCAAGTGGCAAATTATTGGATTTTGAGTTTCAAGAAATATGGTATACACCATGGTATTTTGGGAATACATACCATTAAAAATAGTAATTGGGACCCTAAAATAGTTTTTAATGGTGTTTTATATATGGACTTTTTTCTTAAAATACACAGCCATTCAAAATATTTATTATACTATTCATTATATATTCATTATACTATTCATGGTATTTTTTCTTGGAATCGTCCCGTGTTTGTGTACCAGGCGATGGCGGCGAAAAGGCCACAGTGGATGAGCCGCGGCGGACCATCTTCATGTCCGATCCAGGACGTCGAAACAGTGTGGCGACTGGTAACGGGAGAAATGAAGATGGGGAAAAGGCAGGAAAAGGCAGGAAAAGGCAGGACAAGGCAAAATCATATAGCATTTGAAGGGGAAAATATGGATGAAACATGTTGATGAACCATGAAAAAAAAACAAGTTTGGGATTAATCTGTTTGAAAACCCCCAATATAATCACAATATCCAAATTTTTAGGTGTGTTACCCCAAGATCCATTTTCATGGGACTGATAAGCCAACTGGAGTTTAGGAACGCCATGGACCTCATGATCTATCGTTGCTGGTTGGAGGATGTTTTTCGAGTTTTTTTGGGTGTGCATCCGAGTTTTTATTGATTTGTTGGCGAATCCAGCAACTTAACCTACGAATGGGCGACCTAAGCATGATGAAATTCACCATTAATACGGGATCCTGATTCGAGTCGTTCGTAGGACTCTGCTACGAATATTCGGGCCGCGAGAATGTGGGACAGTCGTGGCACCCTGCAGTGCTTGAGATCAAGAAGAAGGTGCCATTTCTCAAGGGATGTTGGGAGATGTTGAGGGTTGAACATGGTTGAACAACCATGGATTCCATGGATCTTTGATTGGAGAATGATTTAAGCATGGCTTTGTTGTCCAAGGGGAGCGCCAAAAAAAGACCAAAAACAACCTTCACGCTTAGAGGAGAGACGGATTGTAGGTGCTATCCGGCCATACTAAGGAATAAAGAGGTACCATGAGGTACCCCAAATCACCACTTTTAGATTGGGATTTTCCATGAAACAAACCATCCAGCTATTGGAGTCCCCCCATTATGGGAAAGCTCCATGTCAGGCAGAGGAAGGTCTTGCCCGATGTGGATTGCCTGAGGCGATGGCTATGTGGTCTCTCATGATTTTGATGATTTTGTGGTGTATCATGATTTAACAGGGATTAATATGGATACTAATGGGATAATTATGGTGGTTAATAGTGGTTAATAATGGTTAATGAGATATACCATCTGGTTATTTAACATAGCCATGGAAAATCCCTTATAAATGGAGGTTTCTAGCTGGGAAAATCATCTATAAATGGGCCATTTTCAATGGCTATGCTAAATAACCAGAGTGTAAATGCTGATTGATCTCTCATGCTTCTTGATTTTGGGGCTTCAGCTCTCTTGCAACTTGTACCGCCTTCGATCTCGTCGATCCCCTCGCGTTTGAGTCAACATGGCCCTTCCCATGAAGAAGTCCGTGATGAAGAGCATGAAGGCAATGAAGAAGACCACCGCGATGAAAGCTCGAGTGATGAAGAAGAAGGCAGTGAGCAAGATTGCTCGAGGAAAGTCGGCAAAGGCCGTGGTCTTCAGGGGCAGCAAAGAGAAGACTGCAACAGGTTTCAAACAGACAGACTTGTTGAAGAACAAGCGTAACAAGGTTGTGACCAAGAAGCAGCATGCTGCCGGCAAGAAAGCCTACAAGAACATCTCCGCTTGGACCACCGCAGTGACAAAGGCCAGGAAGGAGTTGGGCATCAAAGGCTTCTGCGCTGTGAATGGTAAGACAGCGCAGGGCAAGGCTCTCTATGCCAAGGCCAAGGCCATCTATGCCGCCTGAACGGTTGAGAGATGTTGAGAGAAATCGGCAGTTCCAACTTGCGTGGTAGTTCACGGAGCAGAGAACTTGCCTTGACTTTCTCTGTTGACGAACTGAGCTCGGCATGTACAGCTCGTTTAGCCGAGCCATTCCCCGCCTCATCCATAGCGTGAGGACTTTGCGCTGGCAAAAACCCTGAAATCGAGCATTCCAAGTCGGTGCGTTTTCTATGTGTTTCCTTTGCATGATTTGTATTCAATTTTACCTATAACTTTGTCATTTCAGCAGCACGTTCTGCTGTGAAGTCTCCAAGATGTCTTTCAAAGGAATTCCTGCCAGTTCAGACAAGATGAGACATATAAGTCTGCATATTTTTTTTGTCAGGACATTTGTAGTCTCACAGCTCAGACTCGTCTTTTTTCGAGAGAGAGGCAACTCGTCAGATGATACGTGGATATGTGGCATGTGGTGCAACATCGTGCAACATGTCATGCAACATGTTGTGAAAAGGATGTGAAACAGACGGGCATGGTGTATCATGATGTAAATGCTGATTGATCTCTCATGCTTCTTGATTTTGGGGCTCCAGCTCTCTTGCAACTTGTACCGCCTTCGATCTCGTCGATCCCCTCGCGTTTGAGTCAACATGGCCCTTCCCATGAAGAAGTCCGTGATGAAGAGCATGAAGGCAATGAAGAAGACCACCGCGATGAAAGCTCGAGTGATGAAGAAGAAGGCAGTGAGCAAGATTGCTCGAGGAAAGTCGGCAAAGGCCGTGGTCTTCAGGGGCAGCAAAGAGAAGACTGCAACAGGTTTCAAACAGACAGACTTGTTGAAGAACAAGCGTAACAAGGTTGTGACCAAGAAGCAGCATGCTGCCGGCAAGAAAGCCTACAAGAACATCTCCGCTTGGACCACCGCAGTGACAAAGGCCAGGAAGGAGTTGGGCATCAAAGGCTTCTGCGCTGTGAATGGTAAGACAGCGCAGGGCAAGGCTCTCTATGCCAAGGCCAAGGCCATCTATGCCGCCTGAACGGTTGAGAGATGTTGAGAGAAATCGGCAGTTCCAACTTGCGTGGTAGTTCACGGAGCAGAGAACTTGCCTTGACTTTCTCTGTTGACGAACTGAGCTCGGCATGTACAGCTCGTTTAGCCGAGCCATTCCCCGCCTCATCCATAGTGTGAGGACTTTGCGCTGGCAAAAACCCTGAAATCGAGCATTCCCAGTCGGTGCGTTTTCTATGTATTTCCTTTGCATGATTTGTATTCAATTTTACCTATAACTTTGTCATTCCAGCAGCACGTTCTGCTGTGAAGTCTCCAAGATGACTTTCAAAGGAATTCCTGCCAGTTCAGACAAGATGAAACATATAAGTCTGCATGTTTTAAAGGAAATTTGTAGACTCACAGATCAGACTCGTCTTGTTTCGAGAGAGGCAACTCGTCAGATGATAAGTGGATATGTGGCATGTGGTGCAACATCGTGCAACATGTCGTGCAACATGTTGTGAAAAGGATGTGAAACAGACGGGCATGGTGTATCATGATGTAAATGCTGATTGATCTCTCATGCTTCTTGATTTTGGGGCTCCAGCTCTCTTGCAACTTGTACCGCCTTCGATCTCGTCGATCCCCTCGTGTTTGAGTCAACATGGCCCTTCCCATGAAGAAGTCCGTGATGAAGAGCATGAAGGCAATGAAGAAGACCACCGCGATGAAAGCTCGAGTGATGAAGAAGAAGGCAGTGAGCAAGATTGCTCGAGGAAAGTCGGCAAAGGCCGTGGTCTTCAGGGGCAGCAAAGAGAAGACTGCAACAGGTTTCAAACAGACAGACTTGTTGAAGAACAAGCGTAACAAGGTTGTGACCAAGAAGCAGCATGCTGCCGGCAAGAAAGCCTACAAAAACATCTCCGCTTGGACCACCGCAGTGACAAAGGCCAGGAAGGAGTTGGGCATCAAAGGCTTCTGCGCTGTGAATGGTAAGACAGCGCAGGGCAAGGCTCTCTATGCCAAGGCCAAGGCCATCTATGCCGCCTGAACGGTTGAGAGATGTTGAGAGAAATCGGCAGTTCCAACTTGCGTGGTAGTTCACGGAGCACAGAACTTGCCTTGACTTTCTCTGTTGACGAACTGAGCTCGGCATGTACAGCTCGTTTAGCCGAGCCATTCCCCGCCTCATCCATAGTGTGAGGACTTTGCGCTGGCAAAAACCCTGAAATCGAGCATTCCAAGTCGGTGCGTTTTCTATGTGTTTCCTTTGCATGATTTGTATTCAATTTTACCTATAACTTTGTCATTCCAGCAGCACGTTCTGCTGTGAAGTCTCCAAGATGACTTTCAAAGGAATATCCTGCCAGTTCAGACAAGATGAAACATATAAGTCTGCATAGTTTTGTTTTTCAGGAAATTTGTAGACTCACAGCTCAGACTCGTCTTGTTTCGAGAGAGGCAACTTATCAGATGATACGTGGATATGCGGCATGTGGTGCAACATCGTGCAACACGCCGTGCAACATGTTGTGAAAAGGATGTGAAACAGACGGGCATGGTGTATCATGATGTAAATGCTGATTGATCTCTCATGTTTCTTGATTTTGGGGCTCCAGCTCTCTTGCAACTTGTACCGCCTTCGATCTCGTCGATCCCCTCGTGTTTGAGTCAACATGGCCCTTCCCATGAAGAAGTCCGTGATGAAGAGCATGAAGGCAATGAAAAAGACCACCGCGATGAAAGCTCGAGTGATGAAGAAGAAGGCAGTGAGCAAGATTGCTCGAGGAAAGTCGGCAAAGGCCGTGGTCTTCAGGGGCAGCAAAGAGAAGACTGCAACAGGTTTCAAACAGACAGACTTGTTGAAGAACAAGCGTAACAAGGTTGTGACCAAGAAGCAGCATGCTGCCGGCAAGAAAGCCTACAAGAACATCTCCGCTTGGACCACCGCAGTGACAAAGGCCAGGAAGGAGTTGGGCATCAAAGGCTTCTGCGCTGTGAATGGTAAGACAGCGCAGGGCAAGGCTCTCTATGCCAAGGCCAAGGCCATCTATGCCGCCTGAACGGTTGAGAGATGTTGAGAGAAATCGGCAGTTCCAACTTGCGTGGTAGTTCACGGAGCAGAGAACTTGCCTTGACTTTCTCTGTTGACGAACTGAGCTCGGCATGTACAGCTCGTTTAGCCGAGCCATTCCCCGCCTCATCCATAGTGTGAGGACTTTGCGCTGGCAAAAACCCTGAAATCGAGCATTCCAAGTCGGTGCGTTTTCTATGTGTTTCCTTTGCATGATTTGTATTCAATTTTACCTATAACTTTGTCATTTCAGCAGCACGTTCTGCTGTGAAGTCTCCAAGATGTCTTTCAAAGGAATTCCTGCCAGTTCAGACAAGATGAAACATATAAGTCTGCATAGTTGTTCTTTAAAGGAAATTTGTAGACTCACAGATCAGACTCGTCTTGTTTCGAGAGAGGCAACTTATCAGATGATACGTGGATATGCGGCATGTGGTGCAACATCGTGCAACACGCCGTGCAACATGTTGTGAAAAGGATGTGAAACAGACGGGCATGGTGTATCATGATGTAAATGCTGATTGATCTCTCATGTTTCTTGATTTTGGGGCTCCAGCTCTCTTGCAACTTGTACCGCCTTCGATCTCGTCGATCCCCTCGCGTTTGAGTCAACATGGCCCTTCCCATGAAGAAGTCCGTGATGAAGAGCATGAAGGCAATGAAAAAGACCACCGCGATGAAAGCTCGAGTGATGAAGAAGAAGGCAGTGAGCAAGATTGCTCGAGGAAAGTCGGCAAAGGCCGTGGTCTTCAGGGGCAGCAAAGAGAAGACTGCAACAGGTTTCAAACAGACAGACTTGTTGAAGAACAAGCGTAACAAGGTTGTGACCAAGAAGCAGCATGCTGCCGGCAAGAAAGCCTACAAAAACATCTCCGCTTGGACCACCGCAGTGACAAAGGCCAGGAAGGAGTTGGGCATCAAAGGCTTCTGCGCTGTGAACGGCAAGACAGCGCAGGGCAAGGCTCTCTATGCCAAGGCCAAGGCCATCTATGCCGCCTGAACGGTTGAGAGATGTTGAGAGAAATCGGCAGTTCCAACTTGCGTGGTAGTTCACGGAGCACAGAACTTGCCTTGACTTTCTCTGTTGACGAACTGAGCTCGGCATGTACAGCTCGGTTAGCCGAGCCATTCCCCGCCTCATCCATAGTGTGAGGACTTTGCGCTGGCAAAAACCCTGAAATCGAGCATTCCAAGTCGGTGCGTTTTCTATGTGTTTCCTTTGCATGATTTGTATTCAATTTTACCTATAACTTTGTCATTTCAGCAGCACGTTCTGCTGTGAAGTCTCCAAGATGTCTTTCAAAGGAAATGCTGCCAGTTCAGACAAGATGAAACATATAAGTCTGCATAGTTTTTTCCCGAGAGCGTCTGAGCGCAGGGTTCTTCCAATAGTGGGGGTCTGTATCTCATCTTCTCATCTTCACACCTTCTCATCTTCACACCTTCTCTCACACCTTCTCATTTTCACACCTTCTTTCACACCTTCTCATCTTCACACCTTCTGATCTTCACACCTTCTGATCTTCACACCTTCTCTCACACCTTCTCATCTTCACACCTTCTCTCACACCTTCTCTCACACCTTCTCATCTTCACATCTGCTCATCTTCACATCTTCTCATCTTCACATCTGCTCCTTTTCACACCTTCTCTCACACCTTCTCATCTTCACACCTTCTCATCTTCACACCTTCTCATCTTCACACCTTCTCTCACACCTTCTCATCTTCTCTCTCTCTCTCTCACTCTCTCTTCTCTTTTCTCTCTCCTTTCTCTCTCTCCTTTCTCTCTCCCTTTTCTCTCTCTCGCCTTCTTTATCTTTCTCTCTTTAGGCCGAGGGTGGTGCCGGCGGGGAGTCACGAAACGTGAACCCTTTCGCACGAAATGAGGATCGATCGTCAAAAACTGAGGTAAAATTGCGATTTTACTTGTCCTGGAGCAACCCTTTCGCACGAAAGGAGGGGTCGATCGGCAAAAACTGAGGTAAAATTGCGATTTTACTTGTCCTGGAGCAACCCTTTCGCACGAAATGAGGGTCGATCGGGCATCTTATGAACACCGCCATGTGGTGGTGCCGGGCCCTGCTCTCATTTCTCCTGATGATTGCAGGGTGCAGAGTTCATCAGCTTGGTGACTTTTTCTTTCAGATGACTACTGGCTGGAAATCGGGGATGCGCTACTTGCGTGGTAGTTCACGGAGTCGCGGTCCAAGATTGAACCGGCGATACAGAGCCTCAGCACCTTTTGCATGTAGTGCACGTGTCATTGGAGGTATCAGGAGACCATTCAGTAGATCCCTCAATAGAAAGATTCGACGTGGTGGGTTGGGCATTTTGTCTACTTTCCCATTTCTCGAAATCACTGCTTTGCATTTGCCATATCGCATGCGCAAACGGAAACGGAAGAGGAAACGTCCTTTTTCCAATGTGTTCTCACCAACTTCGCATTGCACAGCCGAATTTTGCGATGAGCACAGTTTGCATGACTTACAAAGGTGTGTGGCCCAACCGGGCTACTCCTGCCCTCGGAGGCCCGCACGGAAGCGGAAGCACAGACCAATGAGACAGAAATTTGAGAATGACGTTGGGGCACAAAGTCTTTGCACCATCTCATTTGATCAAGCGGATTTTCACCAGAGAGATTTGCAAGAGAATGTTTTGACGGACATGTTTGGACACGATTCCAATCAACTCAATCCAGAAAGCACACAGTCACAGCCATACCATGATGTTCATGGGCTTCATCAACTCAAAGTGCCAAGGTTTTTCACCAGAGCATTTGACGGAAAGGATCTTTCAGAGAATGATTTGCAAAAGGAAATTGTTTGCGATGATGAGCTTTCAATCTCTAGTGTTTGCAGCAGCCCATTTGGCAACACGGTTTTTCCAGAAGAGAGTTTTTTGACAGATGTGTGGGACAAAGAGTCCAACCCACACAGAGGAAAAAACGATCAGTCACACGCACGCCCTCATTTTCATGAGCATCAGCAAGCAGAAGCATCACTTGACGAGCATCCTGGACATAGAAGGAGTAGCAGTTTTTCGCCAAAACAGAAGCGGCAAGATATCCAACGTTTTCGAAGTGATTTGCCAACAGCAGAAGCTTTGCAGACAGACAAATTTGCAAAGAATTGCCCACGCCTCTGTGGAGGTGCTGGGAAAACAAAATCGAAACAGGATGCGGATCTCTTGGCAGGACTTCAAGCACTCCTGACTGCACAGAGACATCCGAAACCCAGCGCTCCAACACAGGAAGGACCTTTGCTTCAAGCTTTGAAATCCCTGGTCACCAAAGCACAAAACCAGGCCGATTTTGACTTGTGGAATGGGCTTCAATCACTCGTGAACTCAGAGACACAGAAGCGACAAAGCCAAGGGAACCAACCCAAAAACGCAAACACCAGCCGCTCCGCCCAGCCTCGTTCTTGGGGTCAGCCGTGGCAGGGTCAGGAAACAGCTTTGAAAAACAAGCACAGCACCAACCGACAATCTGGCTCACAGCTCGATGGCGGATGGACTCAAGTCATGTGGAAACCTAGGCCACAAGATTGGCATAGTGAACTCACAGACAGCATCGTCATTGCTTTTGGTCCCCACCAATACTCGGATGCATTGGATGATCCGGCCAACCGCGATGCAGCCTTCTTGGCGGTGGCACAGAACTTAGATGAATTTTGTGAAATGATTGAACTCGCAAAGGGCGAACGAAGCGCAATGGCCACATTGCTTCTCCCGTCGGCAATTGCTCCTCCTGATGATGATGAAATGCGCACAACCTTGAAAGTGCCTGGCACCTTGAGGCAAGGGATTCAGTGTCGCTCCTTCTGGGTTCAATCATTTGCCCACGGAAGCCCTGTCCTTCGGACCCGGCAGCAGGTCGAAATGCCCAAGCTCACCAAAGACCACGGTCCCAGTTCCATTGCCAGGAACACTCGCAATCGCAATGCCGGCTTTGTGGTCCGTTTCATTGCACCAGGAGCTTATCAACAGGTTGATTGGGCCAAGTGGAACGCCATGGTCAAATCACCCGGCGCAGCCGCGCGGGGTTGGGCAATCGAAGTTACCAATCCCACATGGGGGATAGTTTCAAGTTTGAGCTCCAAAACAATCGTGATCTCCGCGGATTTTTCCGCATTCATGATCATGACACTGCTTTGAATCTCTTGAGCGCAAGCGGCATGAAAGACAGCGAAAGTGGCCAACGCTGGTTCGTGGAACCAGTGGCAGGCGAACTCAAAGGCTTTCCAAACAGTGTCCTCTGGGTGGATTACCAGGATGATGAGAGATGGGACCAGTATGCAAGTCGTGTCCGCCGAATGTGTCAGGAGGCGGGGGTCATCCATGGCTGTTTCCAATTAGGTATCCGAGTCGATGAAAATGATAGCAGACGACAGGTGCGACCCTGCACTTGGCGAATCGACCAGGTTCCCAAGTCTTGGACATTTGATGAAGTAGAAGAACTATTGACGGCCCTTGCTTTCACAGAGATCGAAGTTGTCGCAAAAGAATGGCGACGTCACTGCACATCATGGCTGGTCAAAGCCAAATACCCTAGTCCAGAGACTTTGCTGCAGCCAGTCATCGCCATCCCTGGCGGCCCCAACATTGAGTTGTGCGTCACAAAGGAGGCGAAGAGACGCCAGGTTCAAACTCGATCAGCCAAACTCAAGCCAGAAACTCGCATCAATTTCCCGCATTTGCCAGTGCAGGCCCACGCGCCTAAGCGCCCTTCTCGTGCAGAAGAAGAAGAGGTTGATGATGAATTCATTGCTGATGAACAAATGGAAGCTGAAAACTTAAAGAAGCAAAAGCTTACTGGAGCCATTCCCAAGTCTGCGGCCAAACCCAGCCAGCGTAAATACCAACCGTGGACCAAAAGGGGGGGAGCGCCGTGCCAACGATGGATTGGGGGACTGCCTTTTCCACAGCATACAGCAATCCGTGGCTCGGCTTGAGCCTCAATCACGCAGATCTGCCCGGCAATTACGTGCTTTCACGGTAGCCTTCATGAAGCGCCACAAAGACGAGTATGAGTCCCTCTGGGACGGTCATGCGCCTGGCCGAGGGGCCAAAGATTGCAATGAGGATGACAGCTGGCACGGCACTTTTGAGGATTATCTCGAGCAAATCCAAAAGCAAGGATGCTGGGCCACCTACCTTGAATGCTTTGCCCTCTCCGCAGCCTTGTACCGAACCATTCTAATTCTCAATGACTGGGGAGAAGTGTGGCACTTTGGTCAAGAAGGAAACGATGACGCCATTTGCTTATTCTACCAAGAACATATCGGCCATTATGAGTTTTTGGATGGCCCGGTCGAAGCTGAACTCCGGCATTGGTCAGTACAACATGCCGGGGCCAAAGGTGCCAGAGCAGCCGGACGCGGGGGCAGAAGCCAGCCCAGCCCAAAAAGCCTTCGTCTTTCCGACTTTGGGACGCCCAATTCTAAAATTTCTGCACACAGTCCCACTGCCAAAGCAAAACAGCCTGCCAGCATCCGCCTGTCAGAATTTTCGTCCAAGCCATCCAGATCCTTGCGGCTCTCAAACTTTGCATCCTCCAAATGCAAATCTGTGCAGCGCAGCATTTTTAAAGCCAAATCAAACAAAGCAGATGAACCAAAGTTTCAATGGAAGTGTGAGGGATGCGGTGTTGTGGTAGGAGCTGACAGCAGCAAACAGCTTGGTAACAACCGTGCTAACCACATAGCCAGATCGCATCCCAACGTGCCAAGACACAAGTTCCGTAATTTGAGAGATGCATACGTTGAAATCACAAATGTCCCGCTTGCTCTCAGAGTGTGGACATGTAGTTACTGTGGCAAAGGCATTGCAAATCATGTGAAACGTGAAACAGCATGGAATGCTGCTAGGAAGCATGTCAAACTTTGTGGAGGGAAAAGAGCCAACATGAAGCAGAATCGCAAGCGCATTCTGCAATCCGGCCAAAGCTTGAACCAGCTTGGTTTCGCCCTTGTCAAATATTCAGCTCAGCGTCGCCTTTTGATCGATAGCTATACCCGGAA